ATGCAGAGTCATTGGCGAACCGCGACACACCCATCCCAGTGGTCCAGGTACATCATGCGTCAAACGATGGCACTCCCACTACGGAGAGACCGCATTCACATTCGCGCCGTCTGTCGGCTAGCAAACTCAAAGACAAGCTGGAATCTTTGGGCGACAACATAAGTCGGGAGTCGAGTAGCAGGGTAGGAGATAAGATGATGAACATGTGAGTACAGTCTGCAAGGCAAAGGTTTTCATATCTTGTTGTATATCGAAGATATTGTTTCCTCGAGCAAACGAATTATGGTGTTGTCGCGAGGAATAATCCTAGACCAGACAATACGTTGTTGATGGAGCTAATGCTTACAGGCTGCTCGCACAAGTCCTCCCCTCAGAAGACCTCTCCGACAGCTCGCCTCCAGACTCATCAACACCAAGTGGCAATGCACCACATGTCAAGGATCGGCGCTCTCGAAGCTATGTCGCTCGCCCCAATTTCAGTATCCCTACCATGTCTTCCAACTTTCGTCGCTTCAACTCGCGCATCGGTGTTGCCTTCATTCTTCAGAATCGACTCATTCGTTTGTTCACCTGGGTACAGCCCACACAAACCCTCTCGTTCCTGTTGGTCTGGACATTCGTCTGTGTTGATCTATATCTTCTACCCGTACTCCCGCTGGCGTGTGGCATGTTTTTCATAATGGTACCTGCGTATCTGACTCGGCATCCAGAGCCTATGGCAAACGCAGTGGATATCGATGGCGATCTTTGGAGGGGGAGCTTAGGAGGACCACCGCTAGCAGACGCAAAGACAATCAAGCCTGCGCCCGAGTTCAGCAAGGACTTCTTCCGCAACATGCGCGATCTGCAGAATTGCATGGAGGACTTCAGCCGCGGCCACGACGCTGTACTGAGCTTCATCACTCCACTTACTAACTTCAGTAACGAGAACCTCTCATCGATGCTCTATCTCATCTTACTTGTCGTATCGGTTTTGTTGTTCATATCAGCGCATCTACTACCATGGCGTGCGATATTCCTCGTTATCGGATACACTTTAACGGCGTTGGGCCACCCTAACGTTCAGGATCTCCTTACAACGCCCGAAAGCGAAAAGTTCATCTCCGATGCAGAACACGAAAGCCGTTCTTTTCTCCTCACCATCTCGCGCGCAGACATAGAACTGGAGACATCGCCAGAGACCCGCGAAGTCGAGATTTTTGAACTACAGCACCGCGCACTGCACGACGAGCATGGCGAGTACGAGGGTTTCATGTTTTCACCATCGCCTTACTCCCCTTTATCGCCTTCTAGGATCAGCGGCGACAGACCCCGTGGCACACCGTTTTTCGAAGACGTGCTCCCACCTCGCGGCTGGCGCTGGAGCGACAAGAAATGGACACTAGATCTCTTGTCCCGTGAATGGGTCGAAGATCGCTGTGTCACAGGTGTGGAAGTTGAGGTCGAGGGTGAGCGATGGGTCACGGATTTGCACTACGAGGTCCTAGAGAGTGATGGAGAGAAAGCCAACGCAGCGAAGGCAAAGTTAAAGAAGCGGACCGGATCAAAGGGAGGTAGCAAGGATATTGGCGATCAAGAGAAAGAAGTTCTGCGTCGGGCATGGGAGAGCCATGCGCCAAGTCGCAAGGGCGAATGGAGGAGGCGGAGATGGGTGCGGGGTGTGGAGAGGATGCCTTGGAGAGAGGGTCAGTAGTGTTGGGTTGTCGCGAGAAATGGACATAGATGTTGTAGTTCTCGCTCGCAACACTAGACTTTTCCATCCTACTTCGCCGCTTTCACCGATGTGGTGCCGTTCGCGTCTCGGATTCCATCACCACTTTCGCACTCCAACTCGGAACTATAACAAACACAGTTGCTCCTATCGTTGCGATCTGAGCCGCACTGTTCAGGCTGATGGGAACTTTACTGTATGTACAGACAGCCCAGTGGCTAACATGTGGTTCCTGATCTGCGACCTTAGCTTGCTGCCGCTGCAGTAGCGTCGGAGTACAGGAACGGGATTTTGCGGGGAGGTATACTGTGCTGGCGAGGCTAGATAGGCTGTGCGTAGCCTTGTGCGAAGATTCAGTCCTGGCGTCGTGATCTCATCACAAGAGGCGAAAACCATCATCGAGCATTCGCGTTGCTGGTCTCAGCCATCATTTGCGGACTTAACAGCTTAACCCACGTTTCCTCCAACGGCCGATTCACCGACTTCGGCAGCCAGCCGTTTGCATGCAGGGTACCTACGCTAGTGTGGAGAGAGGGTTAGCAGCCCGTCGGCCAGCCGCGCTACCTCCGCCTGTAGTGGAATCATCGAATCTGAGAGTAAATTGATTGCTAATGTGACCCAAGGTGACGCCCACGAAACCGATTGCGCGGACAGCTCGGAACGAAGATTTCTCTTAGGCAATTACTGAGCATTGCGCGTTTCGGCCTGCCTCTTTGACATAATCCACCAAGGTTCGCAGCCGCGGCCGGAAGGCAAATATAATGCTGCTGCTCCTCTCACACTGTTTCTCTGACTACTTTACTACTGTTCGTGTTCCAGTTGCAGCTCAGTCGAGTCAGCTGTTTTCTACTATTCTTTGGGCCTAACCCCTCCTTCAAACTCGGACCCAACTCATCTGGTGCTTAGGTCCCGCCTCCGAGACAGCCTACCCGACAAGCCTAGGTTCCTTTCGCCCACACGCAAGCACCACATAATTAGGTTATACCTGCTTCAACCTCCACCGATTGTGCCTTTAAAGATCCGGCAACCCCTCCATCAATTCTGGGGAAATTTTTGGGTGGCAACAACCTCGACGGCCGTTGGTCAAGGCACATTCACCCTTCGGCTCCGATTGCATCACGCGACATTTCTTGCGCACCAAATTTCGAAAGCTAAAGGCTACTGGTCAACAACCACCTTGGACACCACTTTAACGTCACCTTTCTAACAAAAACACCATCAATTTTCTTCGCTGTCAACCATCACAATGCTTCCCGCTCTACCTCGGTTGGGCGATTATGACATATCAGCTCGGAACGGCTTCTTGCCTGATGAGATACCCATCGATGTTCTACCAGATCGCTACTACCAGCCATGGGAGACAATTGTACGCAACTTCCAGAGTCTGATCCTGGCCAAGCGGCTACGTCGAATAGTAGATGCACTTCCAGTACTTGAGACCGACCTCCTTCTCACGAAAGCCGAGTGGCAGCGAGCCTATTCCATCTTGGGATTCATTGCCCATGGGTATGTCTGGGGCGGTGACAAGCCCGCCGATGTAAGTCTTGATAGTCTGCATACATAGGTGTATCGCGTTGCTAACGATTCTGTGCAGATTGTCCCGCCCTCTATCTCGATACCTTTCATGGAAACGTGCAGACACCTGGAACTGCCACCGGTGGCAACCTTTGCAGGGGTGTGCCTGTGGAATTGGCGACCTATGTTCGATGGCGAGCCTACGGATACACTGGACAACCTTGCAACGCACATGACCTTCACTGGCTCAATGGACGAATCATGGTTTTACCTGGTATCTGTAGCGATAGAAGCGAGAGCTGGACCAGTTATTCCGATGATGATCGAAGCTATCGCAGCAGCTAGACGTGGCGACAGCAACACAGTCGTGCACTGTTTACGATCCTTTGCGGAGCGACTTGACGAGATAGGTGCTCTTTTGGAGCGCATGTACGAGAGCTGCGACCCACACGTCTTCTACCACCGCATCCGACCATTCCTAGCTGGAAGTAAAAACATGGCAGACGCGGGCCTTCCAAATGGAGTCATGTTTGATGATGGCACTGGTCAACAGCCATATGTGCAATTCAGTGGTGGCAGCAACGCTCAGAGCTCGACCATTCAGTTCTTCGACATCGTCCTAGGGGTTGAGCATAGACCTACTGGTGAGAAGCGGACTAACATAGAAAACCCTGCTTCATCTGGACCTTCGCATGGTTTCATCCAGGATATGCGGAACTATATGCCTGGACCTCACCGTAGGTTCCTGGAGCATATGGAGAGCATTGCAAACATCCGGGAATACGTTACAGTAAATCGCAAGGATCGGGCCCTTACCACTGCCTACGATGCATGCCTGGCCATGCTGCGAAGCCTGCGGGATAAGCACATCCAACTCGTCTCGCGGTACATCATCATCAAGTCGCGTGAGACACAGTCGCACGCCCGATCGGTGTCGCCCAAGCAAGCAAACAACCAGCGCGTCAACCTCGCCAACACTATGGCCCGTACAGGAAGCAAAAAGCTCCGTGGTACGGGAGGTACAGCTTTAATTCCATTCCTGAAGCAAGCGCGGGATGAGACGGGCGAGCCGGCAATCGATGCGTGGGCAAAGCGATTACTCAACAACGGGCCAGCAGAGATTGGTGCGTCCTTTGGTGTTGACGATGGCGTTGCGCGGCTAGGCAAGATTGCAGAGGGTTTCAATGGGCAAGTTGAGATTGTTGGTCTGGCTGGTACTTGGAGTGTTGATGATAGCGAGGGAGGTATCTGTCATTGGTGATGGATGAGAAAACCCTCAAAACTCAAAAACGATTGTTTTCTGGCGTTTGGATCTGGAGCAACATACCCATCTCGACACATTAGTGTAGGTCAATAGATTTTCATAGAGTAGCAGTTTGCTCTCTACCCACCCTGCGCTGGTTAACATCCATGGAATACCGGCGTCTGCTCGGTGAATCTCTACATTGCATCATAGTACATGTCGAAAGATCAGTTGATCCCTAAAGCGATGTCATCTAGACCCACGAGCATTATGAAACAGACCACGAGTGTTGCACATGTCGCGTTTCCAAACGCCACTTTCGTCAGATCTCCCGCGCAGGGCAAAGTTGCGCGTTGCGGGAGCCCAACGCGTGGGGCGTGACGTCATACTTCACATGCTCCACCACCTTGCCAAACAAACAGAGGGATATATATAATCCCACTGCGACGACGACTCAAGGGTCAATACAACTACAGCTCTCTCAAATACACTCGAGATCCTCAATCCACACCAAAACACAACTACACAACTATGTCTTCAAACAAGGACCATACCTCGACTCCTCAGTCCTACTTGGACCAAGCCACAGGCGCTGTCCAGAGCGCCATCGGCTCTCTGACGGGTAACACCGCCGACAAGGTTAGTCTCTTTGTTTCCTCCCCTTTGAACTTCTGTACTGACTTCCACCAGGCTCAAGGCGAGAACCGCAAAGACACTGCGGCCGCCGAACATGATCTCTCTCACTCAGCCGCCAAAGCCGGTCCCTTCTCCGTAACTCCCTCAGGCGGCGTCGCAAAGGACAACTCGGATCGCACCGAAGGCTCATGGAACCAAAACATGGGCGCCGCCAAAGAAGCGCTCGGCGGTCTTGTCGGTGCCGAGGGCCTCAAGCAGCAGGGTATTCAGCAGAACAAGGAGGGCAAGGAGCAAGAAGCTGCTGGACAGGTCAACGACCTCGGCAAGGGCATCGGAGATAGGCTTGGTGGTACGGTTGGTGGTGCTGTTGCAGGTTTGACCGGCAATGCAGCGCAAAAGGAAGAGGCGCAACGGCAGCACGATGAGGGAAAGGCGAGGCAGAGGGGTGTCGAAGCAGACTTGCAAAAGCAGGCTGAGGCCGAGAGGCGTTAAGCTGTGGTGGTAGTATAAAGGTCCCCCTTTGTGAGGACGGTCACGTTTGATGGCATTTTGGATTGATACCCGATGAATGATATCCCATGTTCTTTTGACATCTGTCCTTCGCTTTGTGCATGCGTAAATGTGCGTTGATATCCTGGTTGATCTTGATGTTATCGTAAACATGTGAAAGTGAAGGCATCTGTCTGAGCTCTGTGAGATTAAAGCATAGGTCGCGCAGTCGCAAATGTAGTGCGCATATACTGCAACAATGCATACAGGATATAGCTCACGCTCTAAGAAAGATATGGCAGAGGCTTTGACTCATTACACGTACCAAAGAGATAGTTTTTGTTATATATGACCCTGATGGTAACAGTCGTGTTCTGTGTCAAGTCTCAACAGATGAAGGCAACGTTCTCTGCCTAGGGAAGATTGACTGCGGTATCTAGCAGCCGTAGTGTGACGTTGATGCAGATCTCTAGTGTTTTGTGCACAGTATCGCGATTGCTCGATGGGCAAAGCAATTTCGATCGATTCCGGCCGCACACCGGCATATTCCTCGAGGTGCACAGCTGGCACAATGCCAAGCTAACCGGCGATCTATCCGTGCAGGACTTTGAGCGACTCATCGCTAGGGGCTTTGCGAAAGAAAACTGCGGAGATGCGTCGCTTGACGCCAACCCACCAGGGGTGCAAGCAGGCGCGGCCAAGGTGGAACGAAAGCTCCAGTCGGTTGACCTGCTCCCCAGATTTTAGCCACTTCTAGCTATGAATAGAAGCCGACGCCACATGTTGAGGCTTTGCATCATGGTTAGCGGCGGTTGATGTGACGTGAGGTGATGGGCAGTGGATCGACGGCACATGGTCGTCGAGCTTGCGCAGCTCTTGTGGCTGGTGAACAGTCCAGGCCTTTAGCCAAGCGCTTCTTTGGCTGTCCAAAGAGATGGACGTTTAGCAGACAAGGCATCGGAAACACGTCCGCAAGTGAACGCAGGCTAGACCAAGTATCTTGATGCGCTTCTCCATAGCCTCAGAACGTGGCATGCGTCACAAAGATGGCTTGACATGCAATTTCCACCTGGAAGCGCTGCTTGGAAGTTTGACTGCGCAACTTGCTTTGTGAATCGGAACACTCGGCGCATTCAAACTACGTATGACGCCACACGGGGTGTGGCAGTTAAACCGGCGGCGGGTACGCGGCTTATCCTTGCCAAATTCCACCGGCTACGTCACTCTTATGGTCATCAGCTGCCTGCGTCACAACCATAAATACTAACCTGGCTCCCGCTGTTTGGCACAACTCATCACACCATCAATCCACTCTACAAACACTTCTCCAGTACCAGAGAACTTCTCTCCCACACAAAAACAACCCACCCAACATGCCTTTCACCGCCAGGTATGTCAGCTCCAGCAACTTCCGCAGCGCAAGACGTCGATGCTAACCATCTACAGCGACATCTGCAAGATCCTCCTTGCCATCATCCTGCCTCCTCTAGGTGTTTTCCTCGAGCGCGGATGCAACGCTGATTTCCTCATCAACATCCTGTTGACCGTCCTCGGTTACATTCCGGTGAGTTCCGGGCTGCGCACCCACCATCCATCAATAGCATACTAACGATCATGCCAGGGTATCATCCACGCCCTGTACATTATATTCAAGTTTTAGCGGGGGCGCGCAAACACCTTTCACGATGCCGCAATAGCGGCTTGACGAACAAAGTCATATCACGATACCCATCTTCATCTTTTTCCGCCAACGCCAACACTTCACCGACATTCGACTCTCGCCGACATCTATCGATATCTGCGATGCTAGGTACCACTTAGCATGGGGCTGTCCGGGTATGCCGGAACTCCCGGTTGATTGAAGGCGGTTTGGCTTGGCTCGTCTGTAATGTCATGAATAGTTTTAGGTTATGGCGTCTTGGTCCCCTAGGACTCTCTTGAGTTTTCTTCCGAGTATCCTGGTGCGTTCCTATGAGCGTGCTGTAATGAGAATAATCCAACATTTCACGAACACTTTATGACCCTTTTGCTTGAAGTTTAGTGACCTTGAAGTGTATCTTGTCATAATGGATCAACTTTTTGCTCCGTCTTCACTCAATGCACTTGTTACAACAGTAGAAATATCATTCGCTTTGGGGACCACTGATGCTTTCGTCGTTTCCCCAGTCCGATGTGTGGCTGAACCAAAGGCACGATGCGATGCTTGGCACGTGCCTCGCCGTTCTTTCCAAGGTTCACGCGCTCCGCACCAGCACTCACAACCGTGACACCTCACCCATTTCGACCCTTATGTATTCCCTCCAGTCCGAAACGTATCACTCACCACATTCCTATCGTTCGAAGCGCAAGGCGCGATATAAATACCGCCCAATATGAGCTTAATGACAGCCACACTTACAGCCGCCGAAATCAACGCCCTTAGCGACCCGACCAAACCAAACGACGACGCGATTCGCGATCTCGACGCAGCTTCCCACTCGTTAAACATTGATGACGCGCCCTTCTTCCAGTCGATACGGGTAAAAAATACGCTCGATGCATACGTCGAACGGGCGGAGCTAGAGCCAAGTGTAGAAGTGCTTGTAGTAATCTTAAACTGCGAGTACAAGCTCTGGAAGGCGCATGAGGAGATTCCCATGAGACAAAAGCCTTATTTGACGCACTGGGTGGAGGCTCTTATGAAGACCAATGAGAAGTCAGGCATGGAGCAGGTAGACACGGTCAATAGTAAAGGCACGAATGCTGGGCCCACTACAGCGGACATTCGAAAAACTAGGGCGAGATATATCACAACTTTACTGTCGAAGGAACCATCGCCTTCGCAAGCGGCGCCACAAATGGTCCTTGCGAGACTATACAACGAGGATACGCTCGAAGTATTCGATCTGCTACCGTACATGCAGATGCTTGTTGAAGAACAAGTCTGGGACAAGCTGCCCGAGCCGCAAATACAAGCTTCTGAACAGCCCGCTCAAGAGCCTGTATCAACAGCGAAAGAGAAAAATTCACTGCATAAGAATCAGGTGCAAGCACTCGATAGTTCACAGTCCTGGGACGATGTTATACTTCGAAAACTCAAAGAAGAACCCGAACAGGCCGTTCAAGAACTCGCGCACCTTCCACTTGAGATCCCTTCCCTCGACTTTCTCACCAAACTTCACGTCAGCCGCACCTTCGAGGACCTCGGCGTAAATGGTCAGGACGTGACCCTCCACTATATACAGCATGCACTGCGGCTCATAGAGAAGATGGAGGCGCCACCTCCGACCTTACAGCAGGATACAGCGACCAACGGGACCGCCAACGGCGTTGGCAATGGAACTCCGATCGTAGAATACGGAAAGGAAGCGCAGAGCCGAGCCGTTATTATACTGTTGCTGTTCATCAAGAGCTCAATCAGCAAGGGTTTCTTGGAAGCAACATCACTCTTCTTTGAGCTTCAGGAGATATGCGTGAGATATGTGTGGATTAAAGAGGTTAGGGACTTCCGAGCTTGGGCACAAGGACAGTTGGGTAACTAGAAGTTGACCAAGACGAAGATGAAGAAGAAGGCAGAGTGGAGCCGTGTTGCACGAAAAGATTGTGGATGCTAGAGATCGACATGTAGTTGATCAATAGGGAGAAGAAAGGTGCAATCATGCACTGATTCAGGGCTTGCATGCACACATGACGAGCGTTGTTGACTGTGGTAGTGGGCTCCCAGGCGGTCAGTTTCTCCGGTTTGTTGTGCTTGCCTCACAATGCAGCTACTGCAGCTACTGCTCCATATCGCGGGGCTCTTACAAGCCTTGTTAGAGCCGGACAGCCCGTAGCGAAACATCGTGGAGGTTGATGGCATGAAATTCCGCATCCAGAACCTGCATCTTGCTGGACCATCTCACCGCCTCATGTTCTCGAAGCTGTCACGACAAACTTTCTTTGCTATTACAGTGCTGCGGTGGAGTACATGACCGTGTCGAGTCGTGCTTGAGGCTGCTTCAAGGTTTCGGGAATATCCGGGACTGAGGTTGAGGCAAGAAGCAACGCGCTAACCCTCGAACGATGCTAAACTTTAGAGTTTCAAAACCCGCTACTGAAACAACCATCGCCTTTCTACCTCGGCCGGATTGCTAGCTAACCGTTCACGAACGACAAAGCGGTGCATAGTTGCCGGTAACGGCGAGCGACTTTTTCTGTTGCTTTCTTCTGGTATGCGACCGCGAAATGCGAACAACTGCGTAAACTTGAACAGAGCAGCAACTACTTGGAGACAAGTGCCAGCGAAACGGTCTTCCCACGATACTGTTTCGATCGCCGAGTTTAGAACGAAACTTGGCTGCTGATACACATCTGCGGGTGATGTGCCTTCTCAGATACCAAACGTCAATGCGCACTGCCACAACGCGACATTGTTGTTCCGAACAAGCCTTAGCAAAATCCTGAGTCAAGCTTCTGGAGATGATCCTCCCGCTGTGGATATCCTAGCGGAATGGATCATAGTGGAGTAACCCTGACCATCGTTCGACCAGCATCGTCTCAGCTCTCCGTTTAGAGTCTATGCTCACAGTATCACGACCTCGTCCCACAGCCATCATCTTGTTTGGCCATGGCAGCAAGGGGCTGCGGGCGCTATCATTCCTTGGTGGATCGGAAACACAGACCGGTGAATGCTTGTGTCTATGCTAAGCTTTCGGCAATGTCAGATGCACCATGAGAGAGTTGTATATAAACCTCTCTGCTCGTCCTCCTAGAGTCGATATCACCATCACTCAACAATTCAATCAACCAGACTCGCTTCTTTCTTCTTTTCCATCCTTCTAATTACATTCTTGCGCCGGTCGCTTGCTTAATTCACTACTCATTTACATCTTTCTCATCAATCCTTTCGACATCACAGTCCTTATTTTCCAATCTTCAACAACCTTTCTATAATCCAACTCCATATCCATCAAGATGCGTTACTCTCTCGCCGTCGTTGCTGCTATTGCCGCCTCCGTCCAGGCCCACGGTGTCGTCTCTGAGATCCAGGGTGCCAACGGTGTAAACATGCCTGGTCTTTCCGTCCAGGATGGTACTCCCCGTGACTGCGCCTCTCCCCTCTGCGGCTCTGAGGCTGATACTTCCATCATCCGTACCCGCGAGATGGGTGGCAAGGCTTCGGCTCTTGGACGCACTCAGGGTGGCGGTGCTGTTGACGCTGGTGCTGCTATCGCCATGTTCATGGGAGGAGGTGCCGGTGGCGCTGCTACTGGCGCTGCTACTGGTGCTGGTGCTGCCACTGGTGCTGGTGCTGCTACCGGTGCTGGCGCTGCTACTGGTGCTGGTGCGGCTGCCAACAACAAGCGTGGTCTTCTCGACGCTCTTACCGGTGGCGCTGGAGGCGCTGGAGGTGCCGCTGGCGGTGCTGCTGCTGCAGGCACCAAGACTCCCAAGGGAACTACTGAGAAGGGTGTTGCCGCTGCCGCAGGCACTGGAGCGACCTCTGGTCTTCCCACCACTGCCGATGACGGCACCATCACCATGACCTTCCACCAAGTCAACCAGGACGGTGCCGGTCCCCTGACCGCTCAGATCGACGCTACCTCCGGTGGAACTGACCCTGCCGCCTTCCAGGACGCCACTGTCACCCAGAACGTCCCCGGTATCGGTATTGGAGGTCTCTCTGCCGCTTCCGTCATGGACTTCCCCGTCAAGGTCCAGATGCCAGCTGGTATGACCTGCCAGGGTACCGCCGGTGGTGCCAGCAACGTCTGCATCGTCCGCATGCAGAACTCTGCCCTCGCTGGTCCTTTCGGTGGCTCCGCAGCCTTCACCCAGAGCACTGCCGCTAAGAAGCGCGCTGTTGAGTACAACCTCCGCAAGCGCCACATGGCCCGCGGTATTCTCGGAAAGCCTGAGTAAGCATCTCACTATGCTGCTTTTCTCTACATGGTCCATGGCAACAGCAATCTCGATACACGCACGACAAGCAAGAGTTGGAATAATATAATATTTGAAAGAGATTACGATGACAAGAACAACTTGTGGTTTGCTGGGCAATTCACGGGGATGAAAGAGAAACAAAAGAGTATGAATAGAGTGAGCTCGGCTTAGGATCCCTTCCGATGGGTTTGATGCCGCTCCTTTAGTTCTGTACATAACTGACCTACCATACACTCATTTACTTGAGCTGTTGTTTTAAATACTGTAATTAGATGGATGGAAGACGGGGGGTGTTCCTTGACGATCTCGGAGGGGAGCATCTCAGTTTGTATATAGATGAATTTAAGCGAGTCTGGTTAATACTACTTCTCCTTGGATCTGTGAATGACTAACAACTATCAAGAAAACAATAGAGTAGAATAGCATTGCCTGCAGCGGTGCCCTCCAAGCATTAGTTATCACTCTTGCAACATCCAATTTGGGTCTCAGAAGACACCGCTTACCTCCTTGACAATGGTTTTAGTTGGCTCCTTGTAGTCGGCCATTTCTGGGGACTTGAACCGAGAATTCGCGTTGAGTGAGGTTTACGGATAAAGTCGTTGAGACAAGAGTACTGTACGAGTGGATCCTCATGTGGAGCCGCGCTAGGGTGGTTGATCGCCGGCGCGTCACCTCTACAGACATTTTGCGCCTCACGCAATACCCATTGAACGACATCTTCCAGCGCTACGTATATTCAGCATGGGGAAAGGAACCGACAAATTGTACATCACACACTCGGAGTGGTCGTCGTCGGACGCCTTCGGTAATGCGCGCGGCGCAAACAGCGCCAATCGAGCTTCCGCTGCCGGCCTGTCGTCGACCTTCAAGCGCCTCCCCTTCAACTACTGCGCCGTCTCGCTCCAGCCTTTCACCGATCCCGTATGCACGTCGTCGGGCACCATCTTCGATCTCACCCACATCCTCACATGGCTGTCTAAACACCCCGATACGAATCCCGTCGACGGAACGCCATTGAAGCGCGCCGACCTCATCACGCTGAACTTCACCAAGAACGAGGACGGCGAATACGTAGATCCCGTCACATACAAGGTCTTTACAGACAACACCCATATCGTTGCGCTGAGGAAAAGCGGCAATGTCTTTGCGTGGGACACGGTCGAGAGATTGAACATCAAGGCGAAGAACTGGCAAGATCTGGTCAGCGACGACCCGTTCACGCGAAAGGACATCATAACTCTCCAGGACCCTCAAAGCATCGAGTCAAGAGACTTTAGCTCATACAAGCATGTCAAGGATGGAGAAACAGTAGTGGCAGATGCTGAGGGCGGTGTCAACAAAGAAGCTCTGGGAAACGCGGCCAAGATTCTCAAGGCGAAAGAGGCCGTCGCGAAGGCGCGTGAAAACAGGAAGATCAAGGAGCAAGGCGGAACCACATCCAAGGCGCTTGCCAACTTATCCAGGAATGGCACAGCAGCATCGACATCCACAGAGCCTAAGAAACCCGCATACAACGCTGCCGTGTACACTTCAGGCAAAGCTGCTGCCTCCTTTACCTCGACGGGCGTCACGCCGCATACCTCCGGCGAGCGTGCCCTCCTCTCCGACGAAGACTACATGCTCAAGCCGAAGCGCATAAAGAACAAGGGCTATGCGCGGATATCCACCTCACTCGGCGACCTTAACGTCGAACTCCTCCCCGAATACGCGCCGCGCGCGGTATGGAACTTTGTCAAGTTGGCACAGAAGGGATACTACAGCCACACCATCTTTCACAGGAATATCAAGGGCTTCATGATACAAGGCGGTGACCCGACAGGCACTGGAAGAGGCGGACAGAGTATATGGGGTAAGCCTTTTGAAGACGAGTTCGAAGGACCGGAGAGGCACAACGCCAGAGGTGTACTCAGCATGGCGAACAAGGGCAAGAATACCAACACAAGCCAGTTCTTCATCACGTACCGCGCTGTTCCACATCTCGACCGCAAACATACTATTTTCGCGCGAGTAGTGGGTGGTCTAGACACAACGTTGCGATCCATGGAGATTGCGGAAGTAGGCGAGAAGGACAAGCCTGTCGATGACATTGAAATTCTTAATGTGGTAGTCTTTGTAGATCCCTTCGAAGAATGGCAGAAGGAGCGCAAGGACAAGGAAAACAAAGAACTAGAGGCTGAAGAGATCAAACGACAAGGCGGTACAGCCGACGACAAGACTACGTGGACAGGCAAACGTATACGCGCAGATGGTACAGTGGACAATGGTACTGGAGAAGGTCTCGGTGTGGGCAAATATCTGCAAGCCGCGAAACAGGAAATGCAAGAACAGGATGCTGATGAGATAGTCGGCTATGTGGACGACGAGGAGGACGTAGCACCCGTTAAGAAGAAGGCCAAGACAGGTGGTTTCGGTAACTTTGATGCCTGGTGAGGCGTTCACGAGTCCATGTTTAAGTTCTAGACTGGATGCTAGATAGCTTAGGAAATGATACCCCCAACCCGTCTGACTTGTGATCCAGACTGTTCCAGATTCGGTTGCATGTGTCTCGCTGTTAAGCAACTGCAGAAGGTGTCTAAATCCCGCTAAACCCCGCGCTACGTCAGCATACACAGAAAACACCCGCCGTAACTTGCTGATTACACACATATAGTATGAGTATACTTGTGTGATAGTCTTGAATCCGTCGGCGTTAGCCTAAGTCCTATTAGGCGCACCGCTTTCTTCCAATCGGCACGCAAGAGAACAACTTACTTAGACTATTAATCGTGGGGATACTCGGCCTGATGGTGAGCAGAGGGGTGTACACGGCTGAGACATGGGTAGCCATATTTGGGTTGTGCCCCTAGTTGTATACACAGAGCGTTGAACCAAGTGTTGCGAAATGGTTCTCAATTCCGGTTGTTGGTCGCTGCGGGGAAGCAGATCGGTGATAAGGATGATGTATGCATAGGTGCATGACGGAGGTATTGATAAAGAGGGCTAGGTCGCGCCTACCTCAGCTCATTGACATCACGAACGAGCGCCAACTTGACTATTCTGCATTCCAAACAACTTCGCACTAGAATTGAAGGAAACCGCACGTTCTCCTTCTCACCTACATGTACCCGCACGCACACTGAGCAACATCATGTCTTCATCTGATATCCCGTCTTCCTGTCGTGCTGTCGTCATTGAGAAAGCCGGTGCGCCATGGACTATTAAAGAAGTCCCCATCTCTGCTCCCAAGGCGGGCGAGGTTCTGGTCAAAGTGCTTGCCTGTGGCATCTGCCACTCTGATAGCTTCCTCCAACAGGGCCATCTGGGTGAAAACGTCTTCCCTCGCGTCCCAGGACATGAAGTCATTGGAAAGGTAGTGGCAGTTGGTGATGGTGAAAAGAAGTGGAAGGTTGGAGACCGAGTGGGCGGAGGATGGCATGGTGCACACGACGGTGCGTGTAAGGCATGCAACAAGGGACTGTTCCAGATGTGTGAGAACGAGCTTGTTAATGGGGTTAGTAGGGATGGTGGATGTAAGCTTTACCTTTCTGTTGGCGAATACTGTGTGATTCAAGACGACGAACTGACATGATGCAAAACTAGATGCCGAATACTGTACCCTTCGCAGCGAGGCTGCAGTGCGCATTCCTGCCAATGCAAACCCCGCCGAATACGCTCCGCTACTCTGTGCTGGCGTTACAGTTTTCAATGGCATACGCAAGATGAATATCCAACAAGGTGACACTGTTGCCGTACAAGGGCTTGGTGGCCTAGGTCATCTTGCACTACAATACTCTCGCAAAATGGGCTACCGTACCGTTGCTGTGTCCTCTTCGGACAACAAGAAGGACTTTGCTTTCCAGCTCGGAGCAACAGACTATATTGACACTTCGAAAGAGAGCGCAGCCGAGGCACTTCAAAAGATGGGTGGCGCAAGTCTTATCGTTGTTACGGCACCGAATCCGCAGATCATAGGGCCATTGGTCGAAGGGCTGGGGTCTTTGGGCAAATTGCTTGTTCTCGCGCCTGTGGGCGACATACCTGTCAACACCGTGAGCTTGATCATGAAGGGCAAATCAGTCCATGGATGGCCGTCAGGACACGCACTGGATAGCGAAGAAGCAATCGACTTCGCTGAGAAACAGGGTGTGAAGTGTATGATTGAGAAATTTCCATTCGACAAGGTGGAAGATGCAGTTCAACACATGGAGAGTGGAAAGGTGCGGTTTAGAAGCGTAATCGTCATGGAGTAGGATCAGCAAGAAGCAATGCGCGAATCCAGCTTGGACGCCAAAGCGCCAACGGCGCGGACAAAGAAAGGTTGGAACTATAGCTGAAGAAATTAACAAAACAATGAAACAATTGCAGTTCATGCGCGATACTGTACTACACTGTGCCCCGCATACATAAACTCTGGGTGTTCTGGGATCATGGAGGTTTGCGTGCAAGGTAGCGGCAGGATGGCAGTTAAAAGCCAGTACAGCGGCCATCAAGGTAGCCCAGTGAAAGATATTTCCATCACACACACGTCAAACCATCATACGTACATCCCAAGGAAGCCAAGTCCGCATCTATGTAGCTTTTCTGTTCTAGGCACTTGTGCTCCACGTGCGAACGCACCTGGGCAGTCTCGCGCCACAGACATGCAGCCGCCATAACCGTCCGGCTTCATGCCACGGTGGTTCGCGCCTCGCCCACCACTCCACACGCAGCCGCTCAAGCAGCTCAATCAAGTACACGCGCGACACACACCTCTCACCAACGTCTCCTGTTCTGCTCCGGGTACCTGCATCTGAAGCGCGGTCGTGACATGTAACGCCTGCGCTGTCGCGCTCAGCGAATGGGCGGCTACAACGCAGCGACGGCACTAACCCCGTTGTTTCAGAAAACTCAATATCGGCCACTTGCGACACTCACATAGCTGTACAGGGACTGCTGGTCTCGTGGCTACCCGCTTAGGCTATGATGAGGCAAGGCAAGGTAGGGATTCTTTGGAAGCGGATAGGACGGGTGTCCTTGTAGATCTACCTTAAGATGTGGCGGGTCCCGCAGCAGGTGCCAACTCTGCCTGAATTTGGTTGTTGAGTGACTGAATATCACGAAGATCACGGCTCTCCTCTTTTCTCCTCTCTTTCCTTTTGCACAACGTTTCCTTTCTTAACGCTGTGCGCCTTGTTACCCCATCAGTTTTTGTTTCGGAGTAGTTCTCCAAGTCGTTCTTTTGCAGGCCTGGCGCCAGGAAGAAACAACAGTCGTTCACTCGTTTGTGCATTGCATCACTCACGTTCCTTACAGCAGCTGTTCCGGGTAGTGCTGGTATAGACAAAGAGGTTATTGGCCCATCTACGCAGCGTAGTTACACCATTGTGTCGAAACATTTCCCTCGACATTGAATTGCATGCCAAGTGGGCGCGCACCACCAACGCTCTGGGAAGGTTGACAGCAAGAGCTTTGGAATTTGGTTGTCTACGGCAACGCACAGTCAGCGGGACATCACAGTGAAAGAATTTCCAGCGCAGTTGGCAGGCAGCATAACTCGGTATTTCACACGACGCAAACAGATCCCGCTGTCGGACCAACGTCATACCGCCAACCCAAACACCAGTCGTCTCAGCACATCCGGAAGACATCTTTCCACGAGGGCATCCAAGCTTCGTGGACAAGCATTGAAGACTGGCACTTGGGCTTTCCTGGGCCACGTTCCTGTCTCCATTCGAGACCTACGGGTCCACCCAACCCAACTTCCAAATACCTACACATCACTCGCGATGGGTTCATCTTCATTACGTGCAGCCTTGCTGGCGCTCGTTCTCGCGTCAACATCGTCGGCTACAACAGTCTCACTTGCGTCCTTCATTCCGCGGATTGACAACCTGCCAAAATCCTGCAACGCCGTCTACACCAGTTCCATCTCTGGATGCGTAGCCGACGACTTCAAATCGGGCGCAACCTGTTCCGCTGCCTGTGTGCGGGGCCTGTCGGCGATCGCAGAGAGCGTCAAGGACAAGTGTGCGAACGTCGATGCGGGCGAGCTGAGCATCATCGGGGTCTTCCAGAACGGACTGGGTATTCAGAGCCTTTGTCCGGGGGTTACAATTACAACGATTTCAAGTGAGAGTGCGGGAAAGACAGATACGAAAACATCGGAGCAAGCGACGAGCACCCAGGCGGTCTTGACCACTACAAGCTTCACAAATTCAGCCATCCAAGCAACATCAACCTCATCAAGTTCAAACACGGACGCGGAAGACGGAGACGAGGAACCGACGAGCTCCGCACAAACGACAAGTTCGAGTTCATCAACGGGTGGCTTGGTCCTGGATCCGAACGCTACGGGAACATTCACAGCTTCAGTCATCCCGCCCACAGACACTGCGCAGGCGACACAGGCACCCAACGCGCAACTATCGAACGCTGACTCCGGTGGTGGTTCGCCGTTTGACGTCGTTGCTGTGGGTGCTTCATCACAGCTCAGAACTTTGGAGATATCGATAGCGAGTCTATGCGGGATAGCGGTCGCGTTGCTTGCGAGTTCATAGCCGCGCAGCAGTCTTTCTTTTTCTTTTTCTGATATTGATGCATTGCCGAGATGGCTCACGATATGGCGTTGGAACTTGGAATTTTTGTACTATACCCGCATTGTCGGAGCGACGGAGAAGAGTCACGACCAGTTGAGCGTGTCACAGAATGCTCGTGTAGCATCTATGGTCAACTACCAGAGCGCTCATAGTAACAAAATGTGTACAAGACGAAGAATCAAGTGTGCACGATTACTCAACCTCTCGACCATCGGTCTTCCTTCAATCTTATCAAATTAGCGTCATACGTTGTGGTCTACGGTAATGGAACCTTCCGGCCAGTCCACCCCCCACCACCCCCTGCAAGGTAAGCGAAGGTAGCTGCACCCCAGACGTAATCGCCTTCCCGCCGCGAGTAGACTTATCGTCGGCCTTCGACTAACTTGGCCCCACCATGCAGGAGCACAGTCGAGGACCATGAGGAAGACGTTATTGCTGTGTTTCATCCACGGATTCAAGGTATGTTGTGTCTTGCGCGCGACAGGCGCATTACGTCATCTCCAGGGTCGTGTCTGCGTGTCTCAGGTCCAGCCATGGGCAATGCAACACGTCGCTATTTGACATAGAGGACGAGTGCCATGCTAACATCGTGTACAGGGCGGAGATGAGACATTCCGGACATTTCCAAGCCACGTGAAGGCGCTCCTCCAGCATGCGCTGCCCAAAGTCACCGTCCTCACCATCACGTACCCCCAGTTCGAGACGCGAGGCGACTTACACGAGTGTGTCGGTCGCTTCAAAGAATGGCTGCAGAACAAGGTCATAGACCTCGAGGTCGCCAACTCGACCCCTTCGCCCACAGTTGACCCTTCTGTGCGCACGATACTCGTAGGCCATTCCATGGGCGGCATCGTTGCGGCTGAGACGCTCCTCTCCATCCTCGCCGAACAGCCGATACATTCGCAGTCCAACTCGCAAACTGGCTCTGCGTCATCGCTTGCCGACCATTCGATGCTCATGTTCCCGTACATACAGGGCATTCTCGCCTTCGACACACCATACCTCGGTATAGCACCTGGCGTAGTGGCTCATGGCGCCGAGAAGCATTGGAACACAGCAAGCTCGGCATATTCGGCATACAACAGTCTTGCGGGCGCTTTTGGATGGGGCGGCAAGGACACTGCATCCAGTGCTGTCGATACGAGCAAGATGCTCCCAGCACCCTCATCTACTGGAGACGCAGCAGCAGCACCCATGTGGCAGCGTTACGGCAAAGTAGCCATGTTCGCCGGTGCAGCGGGTGCCATAGCAGCAGGCGGCGCGGCGGCATATATGAAGAAAGACCAGATAACTCAGGGCGTCACATGGGCTACATCACATCTGGAATTCGTCGGAGTCCTGGCCCGCCCTGAAGAGATGCGAAAGCGACTCGAGAAGATTGCAAAGCTCACTACAAGCCAGGACCTTGGCTTTTGTAACATGTACACCACTCTTGGCCATGCCATCAACAGCGAGAACAAGGAACACGGCTGGACTGGCAAAGTCGCCGGAAAAGACCGCACCTTCTGCAACCTACCCAAAGGGCCTCTGAAGAACTTCTTCATGCCTGCTGTAAACGACAAGGCCACGGCGGAGACTTGGGCGCACACTTCAATGTTCGAGCCTCGAAACAACCCCGGTTACTATACTCTCAGCGAGACGGCCAAGGAGAAGATCATCGAATGGACAGAATCCACAGATTGGTACGAGGAGAGTGAGGGACCGTTGACTGGGGAGGTTGGTGAAGAAGCAGAGATTGTAGAAAGACAAGAAGTAGATGAGCAGATGCAGAAGGAGGCTGATAAGAGGGAAGCAGAAGAGCTAGAGAAGGCCAAGGCTAAGGGCGATGTAGATGCTTTAGAGGAAGAGGGCGAGTTTGTGGATTTGAAGAGAACTGGCGAGGTGGCTGAAGGGGAGGACGAGGCGAGGAAGAGGAGAGAGCTGTAGTAGGAATTTTTGTGAGTCTACATACCCTTGTACATGGAAGAATGAATACATGTTTGCGCCACGTTTTTCTACTAGCTAGGTTGACAAGGCTGAGCACCCATTATCGCTTATCAACTCATGGGGGCGAACACACCACTGCTGGACGGCTTTCGGACTGATCTGCAACGACTCGTTGAAGCTGTATCTCGTCAACGGTACCACGCATGCACGACTGCTAAGTGAGAGCCCTGAGGTACGATTCTCTCTCACAGATGGAAATTCATCAAGAAATTATACTCTTCCATATTCGGCGTTCGATCTTAGGCTCACGTTCCCGTTTGTAAACACCTCCACGTACTACTTTCCACTGAAAAGAGCTTCTAGCCCGGAGCAATACATGCTGGGCCGAACATTTCTGCAGGAGACATACATTACGGTGGACTACGAGCGCCTGAATTCCAGCCTTAGTCAAGCGTATCCTGATGGCGGCTCTGCGTATATCGTACCAATAACTTCATCATCTTCCACGCCTCAAACCTCGGATCCACCTCGAATTCCACCACCGAACAACTCTAAAAGCCCCTCTTCAGCTGCATATGCTGGAATCGGTGTAGGTGCAGGCATCGCAGCCCTTTCAGCATTACTTTTCACCATCGCCTGGAAAAGGCGCTTGGGGCCTTTTCGACGCAAGGCCTCGATGGGAGGCCATACCTACGATAAAGCAGAATTACACGGCGATCACAAACCTTGGGCTGAAGCCATGGGAAAAGAGAGAACTGAACTTGATGCAGCTACAAGTACGCACGAGGCAATGAATAAGGAAAGGTCAGAACTGGAGACTGTGGAAAATGCCCACGAAGTAGGCACTACGGAGATTCAAGGTATTGACCATGTACATGAGTTGCCTGGTCATGACGAGAGCGTGCAGGCAGCAGATGAAAGAGCTCGTGCTTCTTGAGCTACACCATGAGTGCATGTATGCTGTATACAGTCGCATTATGATATGATACCGTAGGTAAATAAGGTCCCGCATACTACAGAGTGCAATAGAAGTAGTTAGTCATAGTGCGGAGCGCACGGTATACTTGTACGTTAGATTCCATATGCCACCCATTGATCTCGCACCCATGCTTGATCGACAGGTTGTAAGCTCGGATAGGCTAGCGCTGGACAAGCTTTTCCAGCCGCATTGGCATGCTCAACGCTTTGTGCGCCATCCGTTCATCTCCTGTCTTGGTGTCACCCACGCATTGAGGCGTAGTCCAGGCTCGCTGGAGTGAGCCGACTAAAGCCTTGACCACGATTGCCCCATAAGCCATGTCAGGTCACCCGATTCCCACTCGCACGGCATCCTACCGCGTACTAAGGAGACTCTCCCAACACCGATATTTCATGATCGAGGCGCTTTGTATCTTATACAACTATACAGTTACTAATTTAAGCGGTATATGAAGGACACAATGTATCATCCTCCTCCTAGGCGTCATCAACATCCATCTCATCCACGTCCATTTCATCGTCCCAGTCCTCCTCATTGGCCTCTCTGTATTCCTGAACGTCTTCACCGCGTACTGTTTGTGAATGGGGAGGTTGGTTTCTCTCCACGAGATACGGATTACTTTTGTCAAAATCCTCTCGCCACATCGCCAAGCGATCGACACCAAAACCACCACCAACAAAGTAAAGGTACCCAATTTCTCCTGCAGCCTTCTTGACCAAACGCTCCCATTCCTCTCTGTCTTCTTTCTGTTTCAGTGTTTCCTCAAAGCCTGGTTCGACATTCAAGTCTTCCGTTGTCTCTGAGTAGGACAGTGAGCTGCGTGGTAGTCTGGGTCGCGCGGTGCCACCGCGTGCGCGTCGCTCTGCCATACGGATCTGGTCTTTTTGGTTTTGATGGGCACGTCGACTAAAACAGCCGGATATTGGCTCTTTCCAGAAATCGGCGGCTATGTAGCAATCGCCCAAACCGTGCTTGCGACGTATTGCTGCCTCGTTCTTTTGCCGGATTTCCCAGGCTAGCTGGAGCTGTTTGTTTTCTTGTACGGACCTGCGCACGGTCTGAATTATCTGGCGCAATTTCGAGTTTTCTCTTTCGGCTTGCATATGGATAGGGTTCTGGTTGCCCGAGCGTAATGGTGTCCGATGCCTATGCACATGCACAAGTGCGTGCGAGTTGGCAAGAGCGCCTGATTTCTCCCACCAAGCCACATATTGGGCGATTTGAGCCTCAGGCATTGTTGTCGGGTAGGACGCCACCAAAGAGTCACAAGCTGGGCACGAAGAAGGATTTGGGGACAGGACTGCTGCCTGGACATTGTGGGTGTCGAACCGTTGATGAGCCTCGTCCCACGCCCGCTCACGTTCCCAGCGTAACTGATCGGTCAGGCGGGTCCTCTCAAGCCGCTGTTTCGCTATCAGATACCCTATTCTTGCTAAGTTCCACCGCCGGTTGCGCATGTGCTCTAGAGGCCTCAATCCACCCTCGGCTGCCAGCTCCTTCAGTGCGACGTCGGACTTTCCTCTGGCTAGGGAAATAGTGCACTTGGGACACCTGGGGGTATGTGGTGGGTTGGAGGGGTGGATTTCATGATGACATTGAGTGGCGATCCTAGTCTGGTGACCATATGGTGAGTGAGTAAACGGCCGTTTCCTGCTAGTTGAGAACAGCAACGTGTCGGGACTGAGCATCATCGGCATATTGAAGGCTGTGGTCTGGCTGATGTATTTGTCGATTTATACAGGTGGAACTAGTGTGCATTATGGTTGCGGAAAAAGATGGGGTCGCTTGCTGTGGTGAACCACGGATTAGCGAGGAACTGGGAATGTGAGCAGAGAGCTGTCGACCTGTGAAGAAAGGCTTGTAGTATGAATGCAACAGGCGCGAAGGGGTGTGTAGTGCGAGATTTTAAATGTAAGTTACACTCCAGCCCATTGAATGAGGCGCGTCAGGGCGTCATCGCCCTCTGCTCTGATTGGCCCGCTGTCCCAAAAGTTACACGCGAGCAGTTATGGAGCTTGTCCGTGCACTACTTAGCTCCTTTAACACCCGCACTGCTGACTGATTTCGTGGGGGTCTTAGACATCATAAAAGCGCGGAAGCCGACGTGGAAATGTTGCAGCTGACATGGGAAGCTAGAAACATGCTTCGCCACCCAGACTATAGCCTTCACCATGTACCGTTGTCGTTGTCCAGTATGGAGGCTACCTTTGCTTTCGCAGCGAGCGCTAGCCACGCTAGTATGTCGCTTTGCATTCACCTTCACTTGGACGGCATGATACTGGAATTGTGAGATCAATGAATAATAGTCTTGGCTGCTTGCTGCGATGATATCGCCAACACCGACTTCTCTGGATATGCACAACAGCGTACGCATGTCTTGACTCGGTCGCTCATTGCAAGATTCCTACTACCATATCACTGTTGACAGTGAGACTTCAAAGTCAGTTTGACGACAGGCCGCGCTCATAAACGAAGGTGACGGGCGATTGAAATCGCAGGTCACTGCCGCATTCACTGTCGTAGATAGGTATAAGGATTATGCTCATGCGCAGCTATCTCACGTCCCTACAGCAACGCTCCATTGACAGCAACTCTGTCAAAAAGCGCGACATGGAGCAGAAGCAGCCACAAATATCTCGGAGGTCTGGCTCTTTCAATCCAGAGGCACCAACTTTCAGTCCGACGACCGCCGAGACTAGCATGTTCACTGGGCCTGCAGGACCAACTCCTCCCACCAGTCCGCGACAGAAAGCAAAGATGTCAGATACGTTCGACGGCAAGTCTTCATCCGCGTCGAACTCACCACATAAGACTGACTTGTGTGCAGAAGACTCGCCTTTTCGCCCTGCTAGAGACATGCGACCGAACTATCAAGGCTACGAAGAGGTCAACGCTGTATGGATGCAGAGGAAGTTACCGGATCAGAAGGATATGCCACTGAACTCTTTGCAAGAAATGCTACAAGGTGAGACCAGCACCATCACAATACCAAGATCTCATGCTAACCTAATAGATCACCATATCGCCTTGAATCAAGATCGACCTAGTGCAGACTTTCGCAGCAATTTTTCCGAGGATTCCTCGAACTTTGCCATGGCATACACTGCAAATAGCCCCTTCTTTACGCGGCGACTCCGTTCAGACTCTAACGCCCCAGGCGTCGACGAGCTGAGTGCGGGACTTGGTCTACCCAGCATCCAGAAGAGAGGCACCAACGTGGACTCACCAGCCCGCTCTCACAAGTCACGCGGCTCTGAAGTTTTGCCTCAAGATCTCTTTGGTAAGCTCATAGGGCGGGCGCTGGACAAGCCGTTGACCGCTAACGCCTTAGCCCAATATATGGACGGCAAGAGTGTACTCTTAAACGACGTCTTTAACACGCCTCGGGGCCTCAAGGGCGATGGTCGTGATATGTATTCGGGAGAACGTGCAGGTGTTGAGCGTCAACTTACGAGACTAGTGCCTCCGCCTCCTGGCTTTACTGGAGAACGCCCTCGCAGGATCTTCGCAGAGGAGCATAGCTCAGTCAACCCAGTGGCTACGGAGTCCCTAGTTCGGCAAATACCCACTGGTCCTGCAGGACTTAGACAACTGCGAAGAATTAGTGATCTCAATTCCATCAACCATGCGCAATACCATGGCCATATACGTGGACCGTCTAGGCATTACCGTCCAAGAGCACTTCCCCGTATCAAGCGCACCGATCAAGGTCCCGAGCCTTCAGATGCCGATATATACCCCGATGATGCGAATTTCATACCCCGACGTCCACCGTATCAGCCCGAGTCTGTAGGTTCCCTACCCAGCTACATAATGGATATGCCATCAACAAGGCAGGTCCATGCAGAAGACGTTATGGTTTGGCCCACCCCAGCAGAAGTTTACAGGCAGAAACTCGGCAGTCCACCCAGACGTAGTGTTTTCGCTCGCAACGCTCCGCTCACGCAGAATGGCACGCCGGAGCGTTGGTCTCCTCCCGCTACATCGTCTATGTCACAGTACATGCTGCAGTTCGGAGAGCCCTCCCATCCCCTTGCTTTGAGGTTTTCTCCTCCTGCCCCATCTCCTTCGCCTCCCTTCGACATCTTCGCAGGCCACTATCCTCCCACATACGCTGACATTCACGAAACTGACGCAGAGATGGAGTGCCTCCTCGCTATTCTTCCCGATATCTTCGACCTCGATCTACCTGAGCTGCCCTGCGACGAGCGCCCTCTTACACCCGGTCAGACAGACGGGAGTCGGTACGGTATGCAGTTTCATGGCATTGGACTAGGCGATCGCTGGAATTGTCCTAGTGTGCGAGAGGGTGAGCCGTTCCGAGTACGTCCCCGCGATCATGATGGTTGGGGTGGATGGCAGTGGGCTATCGACAAGGGATGGGGAAATGAGTAAGCTATCACTGAAACCGTTCCTGATCCCGTCTGAACTGACACTATATCGGGGTGCGCTACCTAGGCGATAAGTAAGCGATGTGGCTCACCTGGGCTGGCAGAGAAGTCTGAGCTCCTTGGAATATCGTTGAAGGCTTCTTGAATATGGCCTTGATGGGGGAACGGTGGACGACCAAACGATGTTGCTGCTGAGTCTGTATCGTCGCTATCCGTAGAACTCGAAGCTTATATATGACCATGGAGACGAACAAGAGATTGTAGGTCATCATGGGCTGGGTATGAAGACAGCATTCATTACTGAGTCATCCAATAGCAATTTCAGGATTTACTCGCATTTGCATAATGACAAGAAGCATAGTGGGTTAAAGCAGGTTTGCAGGTTCGTGTTCATATGGATATCGAATGACAGGCCAAGAAGCTATAGTGTAGGATAAAGATGGTTTTCAACACGCCGCACCCCAACGCCCAGACAAGTGCCCTATTGATGTATCCATGCCAAAAACCTGACCTCTTGTCCACAAGCCCATTTGCTGCCTTTGACATCCCACAATGTTGAGATACTGGTTCCTCAAACCTCAAATCGGGTCAAAGTCCGTTTGTTGGCTTGCTCGCTCATTGTCGAATGTAGCACCGTACCGGCATCGATACCGCACCTGCTCACGAAGAGGGATTAATATGTGACTTCAGATTCAGAGGTTGGATGCCATGTTGAGGTGTCGCAGTGCCGGAACCGGCTTGAGGAGTACCCATGCCAGATAGTGGACTTACAGCGCCACTTGGGGGGACGGGGATCTTGATATCTTCGGGGCTTCCGGGAACCATCGATTCAGGTAAATCAGGAATCTTGATGCGTTTTGCCACGTTGTTGTAGGATGAGGGTATGATCTAGATGATGTTAGTTTATGGAAAAAAAGAATTCTGGATAAAGATTACCTCAATGATCTCATCGCGAGGAAACTCGAGCTTGGGTATGTCGGCCGCATTACATGCCATCAGGTACCCGTAAAGTACACGAAGGACAGACTCATGAGCGATGATGAGAAGGTCATTCTCTTCACGCTCAAGTTCTAGAATGATGGGTTCCATGCGTACGGCAAGGTCGTGATACGACTCTGCGCGCGGATACCGATGGTGGTAAGGGTCTGCTTCGTGCTTGGTAACTTCATCAGGGAACTCTTCGCGGATCTTGGCCTCTGACATCTTCTCGCATACACCAGGATTCATCTGGCTCATTTGCGATCGCTGCCTAACCCGGTAGCCCATAGAAGCCAGAACCTCTGACGTTTGGACAGTCCTTCGACGTGTGGAAGTCCAGATTGTCAGTGGCTTCAAGGAGGCATCGGTTGCTCCCGACTCAATCAGCTTCTGCTTCTCCTCTTCGCGGTACTTCAGGAGCACCTCACTCATCTTCTTAGCGTATTCATGACCTTCTGGTGAGAGGCTTGCATCTGCTTTGTAAGAATCTTCCTCTCGCGTGGTCCCGGCTCGAGCAAAGTATGTTTGCCGTGACTTGATGTGGAGATTGAGTAGATAGAAGACTATTCTTTGCGAGAGATATCCGAATGCGCAGTTGTTCACTACCACTCTCTCGCCAGCGTTGATCATCTTGATCCAATGTAAATCAGGCTCCTCCATGGTCTCGAAGTGTGGTATCCGTGCATTGATACGTGCCAGATAGTCGTGGACAGCATCCTCGTCCTTCCATCCTTGATAATCCGGTGAAGAGATCTTGACACGACGGACGTTCTCTTGGATGATGCGCTCATCGGTACAATGTGATTCGATGAAGACTGTCTGGATTCCATTCTTGGCAAATTCTTTGGCCAACGATCTGCGACCTTGGCTAATGGCATTTACAGCGTCGTAGATGGCCACTTGGCCCTTGTCGTTTTCCAGGAAGTGGTAGATGTCTTCACGGCACTTTTTCAAGATCTTATTGCGTAGCAAAACAGATTGTGGCGATGCATTGAGGAAGAAGTAATCGTCGGGCACATCGTTTTCCGGGCCTAGCGTAGCGCGACGGTAATCGCCAAGATGAAACACGTGCGTCTTGACACCCAGCCATCGCAGGTAGCGGGCTAAGGCAACAGATGTGTGTGTCTTTCCCCGAGCTGGCAGTCCGCAGGTGGCGATGACTATTCGACCGGAATGGAAAAGGCGGCCTGATTCTGTACTATAGAGTTGGGCTGGGGCCATTTCCTCTTTGGTAGGTAGATCGTGGATTGCGTCGACGAAAGTACTCGACCGCCGCCGGAAGCGGGGTGAGTTTGCGTATATCTCTGCAGTACTAGTCATCTTGAGTGAATGTTCTATTCAGGAGGTGTGCAGCGTTGGTACTTTCACATTGCTGCGGGAAGTGGGGTCATGGTACTCACAGTAGGGTATCCATGATTGCAAAATCGTCAGGTCGAGATGATCAATTGACGGAAAGGGAAGAAGTGCAAAGCGCACAGGAAGAGAAATGGTCGGATGTCAATGAAGTAGAGTTGCGTTCGGTTCAAGGTCACAGTTCCAAGGTTCCGGCGTTGATAGCGTTTGCCGAGAGATGTCAGCAAACAAGGTGCGACAACCCGTAACAGTCAAGTGCAGCAACTTCCACGAAACAGTGTCGCAGATAGGTCTGGGGATAGTCAGGCAGCACTTTGCGGGATTTCGTAGTCAAGGGTCACAAAAGCAACCATGGTATCAACGGGCGGCATGTCTTGGATGCTAGAGATCTGATAAGCTCTAGCGTCATTGGGTCATGTCACGTGACGGCTTTAGAATTTCTGTTCGATATCGTCATGCTAGCGAATGCGACCCAACATCGCCCTCCAACCGTTCGCTGCCATTTCCATCCCATCCTGTGCAAGCTCTCCCACATTTTTTTTGGGAGCTCCTAGTTTGACTCGGCGTATATATTCACCATGGCCACCCCGCTGCAGTTCAACCCAGCGCAGGAACAAGCTGTCGCCGATATCCTATCACGACCTCGCGCCGCCAACACCGGTCCATTCGCACAATTTCTAAACGTATACGATGCATTCCAAGAGCGGAGAGAAGCATTGGGCCTCAGCAACCCGGGCACAGTCGAAAACATTGCGAGGGAAGTCCAGCGCGATGTCTTCCTGAACAACTCCAGCTTCTCAGGTCTGCGCGCCGAGCTCACCAAGGCCTTCAGCGCCGCCCCGCTATTCCAGGTTGCACACTCGTTGTCCATGGGATCGCAGGTTATGCCGCCATACTCCTACATGGTTCTCTACGGATCACCAAGGGTTTGTTGCTCAGATCGTCGGCAGCCTTCCGTTTGCTGACTTTTCTAGGTATTCATGCAAGGAAACCTAGATAACGAGCTTGCCTTCTCCGGTCGCTTCAACTGGCGCTGGACGTCGGCGTTTGTCACCAAGACCGCTGTTCAGCTCACATCGCAAGGCAACATGGTTTCGCTCGAAAACGACTACACTGGCGCCGACTTCTCTGCTTCGCTGAAGGCTGTCAACCCCTCCCTACTCGACGGTGGCATTACTGGTATGCTCATGGCCAGCTATCTACAGGCTGTTACACCAAAGCTTTCGCTCGGCATCGACGCTTTCTGGACCCGCCCGGCTATGGCATACCCCCCAGAGCTGAATGTCTCGTACGCGGCACGCTACCGGGCTGTCGACTGGATGGCATGTGGTCAGATCATCCCCGACCGTGGTGTATTGGAGGCTTCATACTGGCGCAGACTTACAGACAAGGTTGAGACTGGCATCAACTGCAACCTCGCATTTGCTGGAATTGGCCCCGGAGGGCCTATGGCTGGACCGCAGAAGGAGGGTAACGTAACTATCGGTGCCAAGTACGATTTCCGTCAGTCATCATACAGGGCACAAATAGACAACCAGGGTAAGGTGTCGTGCTTGTTGGAGAAGATGATTGCGCCGCCAATCCGTGTAACCTTCTCAGGTGAAATTGACCACAAAGCGGTAAGTTTTGTAGAATTCAAGTCTGACTATCAATACTGACGGTAGCACAGAATGCCGCTAAGCTTGGTCTGGCCGTTGCGATAGAAGCCGCCGACGAGGCAGTCATGGAACAGCAAGAACAACAGGGCGTCGCAATGTCAGCCGGCTCGATCCCCTTCTAAACGCCTCTCCACACATCCATGTATCGACTATAATACCATGACTCTTCTCTTTGCTGTATTACCACCTTTCTTGGGGCGAGCGTCGTCTGCAATCCCAGCGTCCCCGCTTTCCTGGTCTCCACTATCTGCGGATTGACGGTACTGCGTGTGCGCGGCTGGAGTGATTTATGAACGTAAAAGGCGTAACGTTGACATCTGATGGAATACGAGCTTTGGTAGACCGGAATTCGGCGAAGCATCTCCGCCGCCAGATGTTTGCAAGTCGACACGAGACGAGACGATGCATTTGTACATATAGTAGCATAGCCCATGGGCGTTAAAAATGATATGTAAAAAGATGAAGCAGGTTGCTTTTAGCGAGTTGAACATGTGACGCAATACATTATCGTGGAGTCGAGAAATATAGTACAGATCGTTACGGCGTAAGAATCTCGCCGTTTATGTACAGGTACAGCCCCGTTCCATGCACCGCCATCCTAGTAAAACAGGTGTGAAGAGCTCAATGGTCAGGGTCGAGCAACTATCAGTCGAAACGCCAAATCGAAGTTTTTGTCGTCTACAAAGCAGGCTTCGCGCCTGTCGGCTGACCAGGTGTCGGCGCACCGGGAGCCATGAACTGTCAAAGAGTTAGCATAAGGTTGAACAGCGCAAGTCTAGCAAGTCAGGTTTCTACGTACCTCGTTCTGCGCCCTCTGTGCCTGCAGCTCAGCTCTCTCCTGCTCGACAATCATCTGCTCCTCGCTGTATGCCAATGCCCATGGCACACCCAGAAGCAGCGCACTTGTGCTCACTACCCAGAGAGTCTTGCCGCCCATGTTCAGGCCGCTCTTGAACCATGAAGAGATTGTGTTTGCTTTTGAAGAGACGGAACGGCGTGTGCTGGCAGGGATCATGTCTTGTAAGGCGAGAATGCGCTCGTAGAGAGATTCGTCTGGCTGTACGGAGTGGATCGAGGATGTGTCTGACTCTATAGCGCTACAGTTAGTATTGGAGTGTCTTCGAAACGGTCTCTTCTATGCGCCAGAAGCCCGTGATAGCGGTTCGTGGTGTCGTACCAGAGTCGGTGTCCCACTCATCGTCGTCATGCGGGCCCTCCTGCTCGCGCACAAACTCCTCATCCATGACCTCTTCGAGCTTGACCATTTTGGCGGTTATCCGAGCGTGCGATTGATTTGGTATGTATATGGACTTCAGCGACAACCGAGCGTTGGTGTAGGTTGGTGGTGTTGGGCCTCGAGCTGCTTGTGACGATGATAACCCTACTATCAAAAAGTTAGCACAATATGTGATGACATAAGGGCCACTAGCGCCGCCGCACGTGCTTCCCACCAACGTTGGACCATGACACCTGCACCCTTCACTACCTGTGCACCAACTCCTCGTAGTGAAATCTCTGAACATTTTCGTGCTCGCCTATACTCAATTTCGATCAGTCTTGCTTCTGCGAGACAAGCGATAGGTCGAATCGAACACACCTGAACGGAATCCGTTTAGGGAAAGAGTTGGAGGGATACTGAATTGGCTGTTTTTACGAGAGCGCTGTCTGTGCATGCCTTGCCTGTAAAACTGATTGAATGGTTGTTCTATCCGATTCACAGTGGTTCACCTGACTGAATTACTGCAAGAGCTTCCACACCAAGACTAGTGTCTTCGCTCAGAAACGACGACAACATGGACAGAATAACCCACATACATAATATACTAGAGATCGAAACGGGATTCCGTATTCGGAACTTGGACCCAGCCTTCACTACCTGAATATAAAGAATAGGTCAAGCGACCTGCACATCTTGAACTAATGATATCGCTACCTAAACTACTGTATGTACCATGTTCGCTTGGCAGCAAAGCTTACGATGCATAAGTATAGTAAACAGCATGTCGTTAATAGACCAAGTAACAAGGAGGTGTATTTACCGTGGCTTAGTACGCCCTAGAGACGGCGCCGATGAATGCACCGAGGAACTAGTGCGAAACAATCGACTGTCTGACATTTCCCCGCTTTAACCTCATATATTATTATGGATGCACGCTTACGCATACAAATCTACAAGGTCAGCTCACCTTTGCGACCATCTTAACGTAGTTCCTGTAAAGAAGACCTCAATTCATCACCAACAATGGGCAATCAACCCTCCACCCCCAAGCCAGGGACCGATTTCAAAGTCATCGGCGCTGGCCTCTCCCGCACGGGCACTGCCTCATTCAGCGAAGCGTTGCGCATCCTACTAAACGGGCCTGTCTATCATGGTGGTACACAGGCCACTCTGGGACCCGAAATCGAGATCAAATCCCTGATCAAACTCCTCTCGCACTTTCCACCAAAGTCGCCCTCGGACAAAACGATCATTCACGATTTGCTGAAGCAGCGCTTAAACGGCTATGCCGCAGTCACCGATGCACCATTTAGCGGGCTGGTCGAAGAGTTGCTCGAGGCGTACCCCAATGCGATGGTAATCTGCACAATTCGAGATCCAGACGCGTGGATAAAGAGCATGGAAGTGGTGCAGAACGCATCTACGATGTGGTTTCTACGCTTCGTACTCTTCCCTGTCCCAGGCATGCGTTACTTCGTCGACTTCATTGATGGCCTGAGAGATCAATGGATCTACCTGTATGGTCGTGGGGAACCAGTCACAGCCGAAAACTACGAAAAGCACATTGCTTACTTGAAAAGAGTCGTGCCGGAGGATAGGCTAGTCTTCTTCAATGTTAAGGACGGTTGGGAGCCTCTCTGTAAGGTACTTGGCAAAGAGGTTCCGCAGGATATCCCGTTCCCAAGAATCAACGACGGGGAAGCCATCGATAGGCTGGCGAAGAGAATGGTGACCAAGGGCTTGCTGCGATGGCTAGCCATCTTTGGTGTGGTGGGAGCGGCTGCTGTTCCTCTGTTTTTGAAGCGTTAGAGAGTGTCTCTTTCTACACCGACAGAGAATCTCTCGCGTTCTCTCTATCGTGTGGATCATGTTTTCTTCTGCTCCAGATGACTCGTACCAGTTGTCTGCGATATGAATACATCCTTTTCCGCCTTTTCTTTCACATACGACCATAGGACACTGAAAATTAGGCTTCCCGTCCGCTCAGCCATATACAAGCAGTGTACCGGCGGATTAGTAGTTAGGTGGGTGACCACTAGCGAATCCCCGCTGTTGTATGTTTTTGGATTTTTTCCTTCAAGTTTTTTTTTTGGCTTACGGATGAATGACATCGCGAGTGGAGGTCGTGTGGAGATTGGATGACTCGCCAGCGCACCGAGCACCTGACAGCGAACGTCTCTGGTTGCAATAGTTAATACAAATTCATCACGTATCGTACTTGAAATGGTTGTGTGGCTCTTGTGGCGGATAAGACCCTAGCTCATGGCAATGTCATGCTGCTCATTGAAAAGTATCGAGACGTGCATACACACTTCCAACCATCTCTACTAGCATCCAAATCGCACTCAGTCCTCAGCCGAAAACTCAACATTGTCTTCCTCTTCTTCTGAATCGTAATCAAGCATTTGCGACGAGTACTCTCTCATAGCGTCTCCACTCGCAAAATCCAGCTCCTCGGAGGTTATCGACTCCACCACCTCTGTGATCTTCTTGCAGTCCTGTGGACCATACTGCGTAATCTTCCACTCTTGAACCATATCGGCGAGTTCGATACAGCCGTTCTTCCAAGCTCGATAGATGGTTCTTCTGTAGTTAAGGTTGTCTCTTCCTCTGATATCTGCACCCGTGGTGAGAAGATAGACGGCGATGTCATACTTGCCTGCTTCTGCGGCTCCCTCAAGTGCTGTCCTTCCATTGTAACCACCAGGAGGAGCGTTGACATTGGCGCCCGCTTTAATCAGCAACTCGAGCATCTCGCTATTCCCATTGATGGCTGCTGACTGTAGCGCAGTCATGCCATCAATGAAAGCAGCTGGTGCATTGACATTTGCTCCAGCAGCTATTAGCTTCTTGACAATCGAGACGTTGTCGTGTGTTGCTGCATATTGCAAAGGCGTCCAGATTCTTCCTACATCGGCCGTAAATGTATTGGGAGAGTTCGGCATTGCACCCGCATCGAGAAGCCGCTCCACCTTAGCGTAACGTTTCGACATCGCAGCATGTTGGAGAGCAAAATGGAGTCGCTGTTCAACGTAATTCACTCCCATGATTCGGTCAATTTTATCCGGATTTAGGTCGGTTTCCAGGAGGATTGCAGTTTCAAGAATCGAATTTTCGGAGCACAACGCAGATGCGTAGGCCGCGCTCAGCTGGCGGTATCGCGCTGTTCTCTGTTCTTTATCGAGAACTTCGGGCGAAAAAGCCAGAAACTTCCTAAGTGGATCTGTTTTCTGGTGTTCCAACGCGACCTCGAAAGGACTCTCTCGGGTGAAAAACATGTGTCGATCGTCAAGGTCTTCTAAGCCTTCACTCTCAGGATCGACAGTGTCGTAGGGACAGAAGCCAGCCCGGAGCAAGATGTCAATCATGCTACTGTTCTCATGTCTTACTGCTAGCACTAATGCCCGACTTCCTTCACGAATGGTATGTCTACTCAATTTAGATGCTCCTTCAATAAGAAGATGCTCTGCCAACTTTGTGTTCCCTTGGGCTATTGCGTCGCACAGGACCGCTAGACCTTCATCTGAGTAGCTGGCTACCATTGTGGCGCCATTCTCGCTCAAGACCTTGAAAACTTTTGGATGATCCCTCTCAAACGCAATCCGAATCGGCGTTTGATGCTTAGGTACGGAAGACCAGATAGGGGTTCTCTTCGAGTCGAGTGCAGGCAGAAGCAACGCATCTTCTGAGGATTTGGCATTAACGTCGGCATAATGGTCGATTAGCATACGAGCTATGCCCGCGTGACCGTTCCAGGCGGCGATTTGCAATGGATATCTGTGACAGAGTTGGTTAGAGTTCGCTGCATAATGCAACAAAAGGCGTGTGAGTGGCTCATCACTTCTCAACACTGCGATGTGCAAAGCTGCCATCCCATGCATGCTTTGCAGCTTCCTCTCAGACATAGCTATATCTCTGCGGAAATCGTCAGAATGACCAAGACCATATGCAACCCCGTTGATGTCAATATGACACTTTAAGAGATACGTTATGAGTTGCATATTAGAGTGTTGAGCCGCTGACGCCATCACACTACCATAGCCGCGCAGATCTGTTGAGTTCACATAGAGACCCATTGATATTAAGGTTTCGAACATCGTGACACTGTCGGTGGTTGCGGCTGCCTCCAATAGGAGCCACGGTTCTGATCGTGCCTCTTCCAAAAGTGCGGGATAATGGCGGAACAATATACGCACTAGATCCATACGATTCCGTAGAACGGCTAGACGTGTAGCGCGAAGTAGTATCCGTACAGGCTGGTCCTTGGTGCGGGATCGAAAGGTGAGGAGAACCTCCAAGATGCTGCTGCTGATCATGTCGTTTTGTCCGGGATCTTCTACCCTCCACTCGGACTGACTTCCCATCTCCATAACAATGTCTAAGACAGAGCCTTCAACCCAGCCATTTGCTCCTCTATATCGAGCACGCCAATCGTCTGCTCCGTGACACAACAAATACTTGATAAGGTCCTCCCGACGGTTGTAAACTGCCATTTGAAGAGCGGTGACTTCTCTTAGAACTTCCATATCTCCACCTTGAGCTGATCTCGCGTTAATGTCTACTCCGACACCGACCAGTCTTTCCACAAGAGGCAGGTCTCCGGCTATGGTCGCTTCAACAAGAAACTTTTGAGCAAAGTGTTTCAGCTCCGTATCCAAGGTCTGGGAAACAAGCAAACTCTGAAGGAATAATGTATGATCGTTGTCTTTCGTGCGGCGCGTCAGATTATTGAGGATCTCCTCAGTGTTGGTTTGGATGGACAACACATAGTGGAGTAAAGGATGTACGTGGCTGGCCAGTTTCGGAATAGAATGCCGTTGGCTCAGACACACCTGCGTTTGCAATGAGGTATCGGGAGGGGCGACAGTTTGTCTACTGAAAGTCATTTCCCGTGAAGAGTCGTAAGCCGGCTTCGAGAATAAGAATGGCTTCGTCCATGGTTCTGTAAATTGTGGCGATGGCGATGTTACAACCCTGAGCCATGTTTCGCTAGCGGAGTTCGGGTTCGATATCGCTGTTGATACGTGCACGGTAGATGCAGAGATATCGAGCTGCCGTATCAAGGGCGCGTCAGTATGCTCCGGCAACTGTATATCCTCAGCGTCGAGAACAATCGCTTTATCGGCGACTTGCAGCGATCCCATATGCTTCTCTTGTTCATCAGTGAGCTCAACATCTTCTGCAAGAGGAGTTGATGGTGGTGTGGATAACTCAATTCCCGGTGGGGTTCTAGAACGCGGAGGAGGGTTGAACTCTGTCCAATCTGTTCAGTGCATTCCTTGTTTAGAGACTGTCACGCTTAGGCAACGTACGCGATCTACAGCGGCTAAACGTAGTTTGATGCTGTTTGGCCTTCTGTCTTTCCAGCCTCGACTTCGATAGGGTAACGCCGCGAACCTTTACACGCGTTGGTCCATCACGCTCTTTTAGACGGTGAAAGATGAAGTCCCATTCATCTTTACGGATATTCTTAGTGACGCGCCACTTTTTGAACGTCCGCTCATATTGTGGCTTTCTTCGTATCAGTTAGTAGCGACCTTTCATCAAATGACGTGAACCCACGTCCTCTGGAAGCCTTGATCAGCCAGCATTTGTATCACATCATGTAGTGGTCGATCTTGGTGGAGGTAGAGGTTAAGGATGGCTTCTCTACGCGACTCCCATTCGGCCTCATCTTCTTCCATTCTCTTTGGCATGTTGTTATGTATTCTTTCAAACGGGCGCTGACCGTCGCGTTGGGTGTTTCCAGGGATTGTGACCCCTGCTTAGGTACACGGGTAGGATTGAGCGCTAAGCATGACCACGACCTGCTCAAGGGAATCATGAAAGTACAACCCGAGAAACAAAATATGAGTAGTTGAGAAAGCGAAAGAGTACGCTGAGAAGCCCCAAAATAAGCAGCAAAGTGTGATGAAGAAGCTGGGTGTGTTAGTTTTCGGGAGATGAGGCTGGGGCTGGACTCGGTTTCACGCCATTGGTCAGTCTCCAAATCATCGACCGGGTTCTTTGGCCAGCCGCCAGACTGCGCCTCCAACGTTGTCGATTGGTTCTCTCCGGAATCTTCGTCAGAACTGCGCCTGAAATGAAACCACAGCCATGCGAAGTGGCAAAGTGGCAAGCATCATCATGTTAGCACGAAGAGTTCCAGAATTCATGCCTGAATACGCGTCGAGGCAGGAACGGGAAAAACATGAAACGATGAGATGATTGGGTTAAACCAGAATCTTTCTTACATTGTGGCCGTACGGTTTACTCGGACGCACACTCGCACTTGCCACGAAGCTGACCGACGTTGACGGCTAGGCTCAAACTTTGTCCTCGAACCCATTGGCTGTAGCCGTAATCATCTATCGTGATTTCCTTGCCATCAATACTTCTGAAGAAACGCGTGGCTCACGAAGTACATATTTGCTCTTGGCCGCTGTGTCTGATGAGGTATCAGGGTAGCACGCGCGATCACTTCTCTACTTGTAGATCATACCAAACATCACGCTGAGTCTCAAGATAAATCACTCAAAGCGCCATTTCTTTACACTGTCTTTCCCTCACCTCTTCGCTCCTTTCGACTTCCCGAAAACTTACCCGTATAACCTATAATATATCGATATCGGTCTTCACAGACTTACTTTTCGCTCCCTCTCAGATGGCACTCGACGTGCAAAGCATCATTGCCATCATCGCGTTATTGGTCACATGTCCACCGACATGCTGGCTCCTTTACAAACTCTACACTCGATATAGATACCGAAGACAACAAGAAGATGGCAAGCAAAATACCTTGGAGTTAAAGCTTAACAAAGTTAATGGAACATAGACACACTTCTGTCGGTCCACAACCGATTACCAAGCACAATACAGGACGTCGCAATTCACTACCAGTACTCGCAAAGGTGGTTGCTGCAAACAAACATCCTATCAGAAAGACTACTGATCATAAAATATCTGAGCGATGTCGGTATGATGACCCTTAGCGGACACTCAGCCTCCTTCCAATATGGGAATCGCTGATGCTCTATAGGTAAAATCAACAGTCAGACTGCGCATCGCTGAGCGCAACAGTCTGAGCAAAATAAATGAATATAGCAGTTTTGGCAAGAGCGGCATTTGAAGAGAGTGAAAGGCATAAGGAAGTAGGCTGGCAGCATGAGACTTCAAGGAGGATATTGTATTGCTGCCTTAGATCAAAGAGAACCAACATTGTCAGTGGGAGCTGCGTGGTCTTCTCCAACTGTTTTGGAGAATTCGTGATCCGGAAGATGGGAAGAACCTGAATCCTTCTAATAAGAGTGTGGTTGTGGAAAAGAGTCGCTACTATGGTCGGATCAACCTTGATGGGGCAGTTGTCACGTTCACTGGATTGATGCGAATGCGACGGCTGTGGCCATAAACTTATCCAGAAGAACTTGTTGGCCATTTTTTCGACAATGTCAGAATCGAGCTTTTTCTCACACACAATCACATCACATTGAGAAAAGGAAAGACGGGAGCTGACGGACCTATTGCTGGTATACCTCGTTACACCGTCTATCTACATGCTTCGAACTTTTCAAAATCGCATTTCGGGGAAATAAGTCTCAAGACATTTCATCCCCTTCTATATGTATCACCGAGGCTTTGTTTAGATTCAACGTCGCTTTCCCAGCATCTCCTTGCCTAACCCATCCCGGCCCTCTTCACGAGTAATCTGCTCTGCAGCCTTGACAAGATCGTACGTGATATCGTCTCCAACAACACTATCTTTTTTGTACGCCGGATGTGTTTGGACAGAATGCCTGATCCACTTGGCCGCAGTCCAGTATGTACCGTTAGCGCGCTTACGGATCAAATCCAAGTAGGTGGCGAGATCGCAGCGCGTTTCAACGTCGACGTTCATGCTGTTGAGATAAGACTCAACAAGCGGAATAAGGCCGGGGAAGCCATTGCCATCGGTTGAATTTGTCTGCCCATTGATAATCTCGTTGACTGACATTTGCTCATACTCTTCCTCAACAGGGCCGGTAGGCGTCGCTGGACGACTGCCGTTCCTCACAGGTGTCGATGTACCTGTTCCACTGGGCTTGTGTGTCGAGAAGGGATTCTTTCGGAACCAGAATTTCTGTGTCGATACGGCGTCGCGGATGTGTGCTGTTTCCATGTTTTCGCTCACCAATGTGATGGGTATGTAGAAGTTGAGATTGAACGAGAGGATGGCACGGGTCAGAAGCACGATAAAGATCGAGAAGGCAGCGTTCTCGAAGTCAGTAATTTGAATCTCCATCGGACGGAACTCAACACGCCAACCCATGTCAGAACCAGCTGGCGGCGGCTTGAAGCGCATGTGCTGCCAGTTGGTTGACTGCAAGTTTTCAAAGTGGTCGGCTTTAGTAAGGTCCAAATCCTGGAGGTCTTCTGCGAAAACGACAATAGGATCACGAATGAAGAGGTGAGCAAAATGTGTCGCAAGAAGATCATCCATGCCGCCCTCAACCAGGCGCTGCTTGATGTCGGCGTCGATAATGAGATCCGGGTCGAGATACTCAGGCCGCAAGCGAGGATCCTGGGAAATGTAGGTTGAGTTTGACGCATAGCGCGACTTGGGTAGTCTCCATCGGTCGTTCTTGAGCGGCTATCGCGTGTTAATAAATCACTAATGCTAGCGAATCAGACAACTTGCCTTCTCTCCTAGTTCTTCCGGTGTGCGGTCATCGACCGCTCTGCTAATTTGGTTCCATCGCACATCGGTGTCGGCCAGGAAACCCTTATAGATTGGTGTCGCCGCCGTCAATGCTAACAAGATGGGTGCTATCGGGCTGAGCTGATCGTACATCTTCCTTCCTTCCTCAATGTTCTTTGCTTGGAAGGTAATCTGCAAGCAGCAGCTTCCCATACCAAACGCCATGGCGTCCATGTGGATGTAGTTGTCCTTGGCAGCACCATTGCGAACGTCGTCATCTTCGGGCCAGTTGTGCATGTCATAATTGACTGTAGGATCCTTCCACGGCCACGGTGTGCTCTCGTCCTTGAAAACTGGGACATTTACTTCGACCTTCCGGCCCCTGCGCCAACGAATGTTTGCCGCTAGGGTAGGAAAGCGAATATGCGGGTTGGCAATTTCATCCGGTACAAATTGGGATCGTAGCTTGGGCCCAGAAACAGGATATGATGGTACGATACAATCGGCCGATCCGAGACGAGGGAATGTCGTCAATGTGATTGGAAACTCGCTCTGTGCCATGTGATCCTTGGCTATGGCTCGTCTGCAATAATTGTGAGCTACCGACTGATCGACGATCGAGTAGGCCTGTCTACCTCCATTTCATGTTTGGTTCAACATCAAGCAGGTCCTTGAAGCCAATGCCCCATGGCTTTCCGGGAGTTGCTTCCAGCATGAACCTCCCAAATTCGGGATGGAAGACCGGTGCAGGGTTATCCTTTGCGCTGGCATGGTCAGTACGCAACTTCGATATGGGTAGTCAGGCTCACTCGGCGTTTCCGGTTTGTAGGTCAGGTACCCCGCCGCCTTGCTGCAGAAGTTTCTCGTCGTTGGCCAGCGCAGCTAGGATATCTGCCTGGCGGAGCGACAATCGGACCTTGTGGTTGTCTTGATCATAGCAAACAACCAAGTACTCGATCTGGATGCCGGTTAGCCCAATGTTGTGACGGACATGCCGGGTCCTTCACCTCGTCCCCCCAAAGGAGCGCATCCCTCTCCTTGCCTTTGGCATTGCGCCAGATGGCGAGCAGTTGCTGTCGATCACATTACTATGCATTCCTTTCGGGAGTCTTCACCGAGCATACTTCAATTCCCCATGACCTGACCTGACCAGCAACTTTCTTGGCCTCTGGCCAGTCAAGAGGCGTTCCTAGGGCACTTGATATGATATTAGCGAGGGCGGCGAGAGACGTAGCACGGATCTCACAGCAGACCCATCCCAAGTTCGTTCTGTAAGGCGTTACGGTAGGGAGTCCAATGCGGGTTGGTGCACGGGCGGGCCGAGCAGACGTGTGAATGGGTGGCTTCTGGTTTTGAACGGCGATTGCGGGGAGGTGTTCGGGGAGCACTGCAGAATATGGGACGTTTAGCGGGGTTTGACGCAACGCAGGGCTTTTGCAGTTTTGAACGCGCTGCAGACGCCTCGGTTTCCTGCGTTATCGAAAGACCGTCGAATGGCAGACGATTGAAGGAAGAATCGTTTCTACTTGCTTCCCGTGGGTACGCGAACGAATTGCAAGGCTAGAGTCGGGAGTATTGATTATTAATGCGCAATGCAGTAAGCATATGCCTGTGACACTCTTCCGAGGGGGAAGACCCTGCCGACGACGCTTGCCTCTTTGGTAAGCTAGACACAACATCACCTCACTGTGGTACTGCTGCCGTGCGCGCAATCCATCTTTCCTTGCGTGACATTGTTTGGGCATACTGACAGCGAGCCCCGATGCACGACTGCGCATGGCGTCTTCTTTTGCTGTCCACCAAATGCGCCTCGCCTACCGTTGTCCTCGCCCACGTGCACGCATGTCGCTACGCTGTGCAAAGCCTTCCCACTGGTGCAAAAGCATGGTCGCGTAGAGAATCCCGATTATGCATGTTGAGAGAGGATCCCTTCGATACCGTTGCCGCGGGCCGCAGGAGTGGCATGACACCTGCTGCCGCGCCACATGCTGGCTGAAGGGAGCAGGCGACTCATCTCTTCTTCGCTGGCGCAAGCAATCTTTTTTTCCTTTGGTGGTGAGCACTTTTGGGCCAAGCAACCGCCATTGCGGTACTGCACGACACCAGGATCGGCTGCTGCTACGCATGCCGCATAATCAGCATCACACACCGTCAGGGTGCACATCGCCTTGCATAATTGGGGCACCAGGTTGCAAGGTTATCGTGTCCTCGCTACTCTAGGCCTTCCGTCGTTGCTTAGGTCGCGAGGTGCAACCCCGCCGACTTGTTATCTGACAGATGATACAATATGCGGGGAGCCTCGATTGGCGGTGCTGCACAGAGCGTGTAAATTGGGACGAGCCCGCATCAGTCCACGACTGACGCGAGTGACGCAGCACCCGTTCTCACGAATACAGCGCGTCAGCCATGATACGATTGCAATGAGTGGAGTAAACAGGATATAAGGTATTAACTTCTAAATTCAATAGCTCCTACGTCGCTAGGCCTGAAAGCCGGTGGTATCTCTTTACGAACGCCTGTCAAAAACCCCAAAGGCTCGTACACTTCTAGCAAAGTGTGTCGTACAGGAATGACTAGAAGAATAGCTTCACCGTCAGATGGTAAGCGCTTGCTTCGGTGCACCGAAACACACAACCCATGATCGAACCATCCTAGCAGATGGTGATATACAGAAAACGCCTTCTCCCAGTCCCCGGGCCTAGAAGCCCTGGTGTGTGTATATATGCCAAAATGCAACTGCTGCTACTAGAAGACAAGCAAGAAATAGACCGTAGTATACGTAAAGCCCTAATGCTGGGGGCAGCGGGTGTTTTGGGACAAGTGCGGGCAACATCGGTGTGTTGACACACAGAGGCACGGTTCCTTTCGGTTCGCCGTCCTCTCCGCAAGTGACCAAGTCGTCTTCATTTGGACGACATGTAAAGAAATTGGTATATGAGACCGCCGAGATATTGGAGGAAGGAAGTAGTGATCTCTAGTAAGACCAATCTGTGAAGACGAACCCTTCCTGTAAATGCAAGCAGCATCTGCGCCAGCGTTCCTATGTAGTGAAGATGATCGAGATGTACGATGATACCGGTAAATCCAAGAAGAATGTCGAAGCAAATATGTACTGTTCTGTGAATAATCACATCGTTGGTGAGCCATGGTCAATGGACTTGGGTCGTAAATTTGAGCTTGTCATCGCTTGCTTGCCACCCATTTTGCGAGTCAACTTGGCGTAGTCTGGATAAGATGTTAGTAGGCAAGCCTAACATAGGTTGTTGGCCGAAGGACTTACGTAGACCACAAGCATTGCACAAGGTTCGAGCACCGTCTGGCCCTCTTCGCCATTCAGGGGTCTCGGCTCTGTTACAGCTATGGCAACGTCCTGGCGGTGCGGCCCGCTGTTAAGAAGTTAGTGTCAATAAGTCATGGTTTGTATCAGTGGCACTTACACCTCGCTTCCGGGTCTTATTGTCACCACCAGCAAAGCCACCCATGCCCTTGGTGTCATCGCCGTAGTTGCTTGCGTTGTCATCATAGCCATTCATCGGACGGTAGCGTGGGTCTTGGGGAGGCTCTACGATGCTCGCCTGGTGGTGGTTGAAGACGACTTCTCGCATCCGTTGAAGTGACATCTGGATTCTCTCGCTCTGCTTGATCATATCATCGACCTCGTCTAACCTTGGCATCGACTGTGGTGTCAAGCCAATGCGTTGGTTCTCATGCGCACGTTGTCGGTAGACTTTTGAAAATTCGGCAACGCGTCCGGATCCATCGGCCATCTCGTTGAGAGAAGCCTCAAGGTCAAAACTCTCTAGATGTCGCTTGACCGACTCGCCATAGGGTGCTAAGCTTGAGCGACCAATCTTCTTCTCTTCTAGCCGAGCCATCTCTGAATTATCCTGCCACGGTTGCGGGGCATACCGAGGTGGAGCCGAGTAAGTTGAGCTGGCTGGGGGGTAAGCCGAGTTGGAAGCACTTGCTGAAGGCGTGGATGAAGGATAGTTAGGATACTGCGTATACGGGTAATGATGGTTCATGGGTCCCGCCGAGGAAGGAGCAGGGCTCTCGTAAGTGGCTGATGGTGGTGGGGGATACGATGAGTAAGGAGCGTTGGGACGAGCAACGCTTGGTGGCGGAGATTGCGTGGTCTTAAGTGGGTGTAGGGTGGGCAGTTTCGGATTGTGTTGAGGAGTAGAATAGGGTGGCCGTGGTTCTGAAAAGGGCGGGCGGGGCAGAGAATCTGACTGGACTTGCGGCGGCTGCCGGGAGACTGTAGGTGATGCTGGTGCACCGACGAATGGGCTTCGCGGATAGGTGAAGGGATTAGAAGGCCCTTGGCTGGCGTGCTGAGGATCGGATGGAAATGGTCGTGGCCGTGGTTCAGCGGGCGAAGCAGCAGCGGAATGTGGATGGTAGTGCTGGGGCGCTGAAGTTACCGCTGAAGGTGGAGGCACTGTAGATGGATATGACAGCGGCTGTTCCGAACCTAGGGCCTCGTGTATTGAAGGCAGCGATTGACGGGCCGTCGGTCGTTGCGTCTCTTTCTCGTCGCCAGACGTCCTTCGTGATTCGGGAGGAGACAGTAGGCCTCCAAGCGAGCCGGGTACTGCGCTGGCGACTGACGATTGGTGATTGCTATGCAGATGCGGCGGTCCCGCGTAGGGATGCATCGGACTAGGCATGGCGGCGGCGACAGAGTGTTTTCTCTGATACTCGACCTCTTCGCGCTTTACTCTGTCGGCATCCATGTGGTTGATTGACGGCAAGCCGATGCTAGGGTGAGAAGTCAGAACCCGTAGGTCGGGAAGGGAGTGGTGGACCAAACAACATACCTCTGCCTACTGCCGGCATCCATAGTGTCCATGGTGGGTCGTATATCGGGCGGGAGGTGGTGGGATACGACAGCGAACTGCTGCGGCAACGCGATGGTGGGGGATCGTGGGTACCGCGACGTCAACGTACCTTCCCGCACACCGTCAACGCTGGAGTCGTTCCTTCCCGCACAACGTCAATCAACACGATGGTCTCAAATTGCTCCTTCCTCCGCAAGCGTGGCCAAGCAATTCGATCGGATTCTTTCTTCCAAGAAAACCCCTCGGTGATGTTGCAGTTACCACCTCAACTCAAATCTGAACAAATGCGACGTCCGGGAGTCCTTTTTTAACGAGTGGATCAACAGCCAGGTGGTGTTGTCGAAAGTGTTGTTGTTGCTGCTGCTCTTTTCTCTTCTCGATGCTGTGGCTGACGTAGTGTCGCAGGCACAACACGATGGCCGTGGAGGATCGTTTGTATGGATGCACACTCAATGACCGCAATCTGCGTCCTTCTCTTACTGTGCGTCACTCTTGGTGCTCGGAGGTGGCGCTGATGTTGGGTGATGTATCGAAGAGATGGGCAGGTGTGACATGGGCGGAAGAGCGGCGATCAGGCAAAACTCGTGATCTCACTGCAAGCTACGCGGAATTCAGCGCCTCCTCTATGCCTGCAGGCATGGTGTGAGAGGAAACGAGGGCTAAGACAACCGCAGCGGGCTAAAGCAGATGCGATCGGAGATGAACCGCTCCGGCAGCGAGTAGTCGCTCAGTGTGACGAGGATGTGCGGTGGACGGGCAAGGATTCTCTGGATACGGCACGCCTGTTTGTCCCAGCAAGGATGTGGGTGGAGAGGGCGGTCGCTGGGTGTTCTTGATGCAACACTCGAGCGCTCCAGTGGGCTCCTAAAGCGTACACGCAAAGGGCAAGGATATGCGACACGCCATGGCCGCCCTTGCAACGCTTGCCCGATCAGATCGCATAGCCCCTAAAAGCAGCAAGTCTGAGTTTTCAAGGCGCAATTGCGATGCTGCATGACGGGCCCACGTCCGTTGGGCGGTGGCGGCTTGGGGGTGGGCTGCCTTGGACGCGTTTCTTCTGCTCGATCCGCAGCCGTTACGACCAGGGGCAAGCATCGCGACCGCCATCCGCGCAAATGGGCACCCCGCGCACACGAGGTGAGATGCGCCCATGCCCAGAAGGGAACAGCCCGCCGCCATGGCGCGAATTATCGTTGTGGCATGCAATCGAGATGCAACCGAGCTTCCATCATGCATCCACCCCGGCATGCACCCACGCCTGTCCTGTCACTCCGTGCCTTGGCGTCGACAGCCAGCGAACTGTCACCCACAAGGACAGACGCATCGCACACATCTTTTATCGGTACCGGACCCTTCTCGTCTGCTGCGACCAATGTGCAGCGGCATTGTTGGGCAGCAACACCCCGTCCGTCCGTAGTAACCTCCTGTCAGGCACTTAACTCGATACCACTCTCGGGAATCTCCATCGCCACAGGGGTGTCCGCACATCTGAATCGGTGGCAATGCGATTAGTGCAGCGGGGCTGCGGACGCCAGAAGCGTCTTCACAGAAAAGGCACATAGTGCCGAAGAACCATCTCAGCTCGTCAGATCCCATCGGCCCGACAGGCTTCGACTCATGAGCTTCCATCAACGTCTGAGCCTGTCTTATCGTGTGCACTGGGTAGCAAAGGGAGTTTATCAGACCATGTCTCGTTACCGCTTTGTCCTACCTGTGCCTCCCAAGGTAGTTTTGTAGGGGTACCTATCGATTACGTCAGTCATCGCTAAACCCCCTCAACCATCTGCACTGGCTCCATCTCGCTCCGAACTATGAAGCACTAAGCATTTGACCGTTGACGCCTACACGTGTTGGGTGCAACCCGGAGAGCTCATCTTCTGCACGACGGCATATGGGTGCGTTCGCGTCTGTAAAATGTCCGTGCTATGACCGATGCGCACCGGCGCTGTCAAGTAGGCATTATCAGACCATGACCGATTGAAAGATCTTTGGCACGCTATCAACAAGTCTCCGTCGCCATTTAGCTGCATCGGTGGGACCGTCAGCCATCCGACTTCGTCATCCTTCACGGCTTCTCACTTTTCTTGCTCTGTACCCTGTGCCTTACTCAAACCACAAAGACCTCCCGGAGCGTTCCTCACGCCTGCTGACGACTGTCCACGCACCTGCGCAAGCCGGATGGAGTGACTATCGGCGTCATCTCTCCGGTCCGGTCACCGTTGGAGATGGCTGGGATATTGAGTGCAACATAATCGTACGGGGCACAACATGCATCACACTATTTTTTATACCAATGTCTCACAGACTTTGCTTTGCGGCCGGGTGCGTCCGCTTGTTTTCACTGCCATCACAGCGACAACGAGTGATATATCGTAGTGATCGTGTCATGGACAAGGCGCAAGCATGAACGTGGCATCGGTGGCTTGTAACGTCAAACCGGCGCAGACGCTCGGTTACGCCATCGTTGAATCTCGCTAACATGACTTTCCACGCCTATCCACAGTGCAACGGCTAATTATGGCTGACTTCTCGACACCACCTTGCAGCACGCGTCCGATTGACGAGCGTCCGATCCGCAGTCATGTCTGATTTCCAAGCAGCTGGCATCTGACAAGCGCCGGTTTACGCAGTGTTACATGGTGTCAAATCCAATCATGCGCAGACAACTAATCCCTGCTACTAAGTGACAGTTACGGAAGCTCTGTTTCGTTTCGAAACGCACATTGTCAAGGAATAATAGCAAAATGAGGAACTGTCTCTCGAAGATCTCTCTGTCTGCTTGGCGTTAAGATGGTCGCGGAGAAGTCCGACCAGGGCAGATCCGTAGGCTCTGCCCTTGCTGAATCTATCTACGAAGCTATACCCCCAAGCTTGGGTATGTGGACTCAACTGTACTCTTGGGTTTGCCGCTGAGTTTGCATTGCAGTCTCAAGCAAGGCTGCCGTCACGCCAACCATGTTGACATTACTAACCCAACAATCTGGATTCCGGCAATAACTTTCCCATAGGAAGTAGGAACCCGCAGCCAAACATTCAATGTACCGGCACTTGGTCTAGCTTCGAAATTGTTCGTGGAAGCATGTCTACGGAAGAACTTCATTGGTCTGTCATTTGACTTAATGACCCACAGTGTCATATCTGACAGGCCATGCCCCACATTTACTCCAGCTGCGACAGGACTGAGCGCTCCCGGGTTTCATATTCTAGAGAACCACCGTGGTGATATTTATCAAGCTTTCATTTCCTGAGACAAGATGGGGTCACATGCGACTACTATCAGGGCGGATGCGAGTTGAGCAGCGTGTGGTGTGCCTGGATGTAAATGACCGTTTTCACCCCGCGGCAAAAGTCGACTCGAAACTGGTCAAAACGCAGTCATCGGTGAGCATTGATATGGCCCATGCGTAATTCACATGCTAGATCAGTCACCAACTAGTGAGGCGAATCCTTACCAGAAGGACGAATTCCGAAAGATGCATCGCATCGAAGCTCCTCGAAGTCAACGCTTGACAACGAATAGAGCCGGCAGAGAATGCAATATCAGAACATATCCTTGCAATAGCATTCTGTGCTGACTCGAGATCTCAGTTACCCACAATGGCTTGGCGGGATCGTGATCTCGTTTCGGGCACACCCTTTTCGTCTCCTGCACCTGCATGTGTCTGATTCTGATACCCAGGCTTAGCGGACGTCGGACCAAATCGGTCTAATGCGCTCTCGCCGATTCGGTTTCTTGCTTAAGCGACATAGTACACCATCCAGTGTGCTGGGTCAGATGCATTAAGAGTATCGCATCGTACGACACTCGACGCAAGGTGCCAGTTGTGTTTCGAGATCCTCGCCTCTTCGAGCCAGCGCCTTGTCTATTGTCGGGCAGTTACTCCAATTAGTACATGATCATCCCACCCATCATACTGGTTAAGGAGTCCGCGAGGCGTGCGATTTTCGCCGGCACGACGCGGAAAAAAGTAACGTTTCTTGTCCCGCGGATTCAGGGTCCGCGTGGCACAAATCAGCCTCTTTTGGCGACCTGCATCAAGCAATGGTCGATCGAAATATAGAGCATTCCTTCTCTCGGTTTGACTGGGGACGTTATCGCCGAGCGAACCTATAAGCGGTCAAAGAGATTCCCTATTGCCTGCTTGAGGAAGTCATTGGCGAAAGAGATGTCGGTTTTAGGACTGCCCTACCTTACTGACAGTTGTCGGCAGATAGACTGCGATCCTGCAGTCGGACGGGAGGAGATTCGTAGGCCATGGCTCTCCCGGGCGAGTACAAACGCGACATTGCGTCGAGAGTCTACAGATGCGCACGAGTCCCTTGACGGTGTTGCTGGGCGCTTGCGCCTCAGTGGCAGAAGTTGAGGCGCTCCTGCATGTACTGACTGAAAACGCAAGGGTCGCTTCGGACTTCCTCATGACCAATTCCGCCACACGACTGCAGGCCACTTACACTCTTGTAAAGATGTCCCTGCCCTTGCTGCTCTTTGAGGGGGTGACCACAAGGGTCGCAAAAGACTCAACAGCACCAGATCTTTGCTCGCTCAATTGATTCAAGCAGCTCAATGTCTTCTGCTGGTCTGACGGGATCAAATGTAAGCGCTCTTGGCAAGAAATTCTGCTTATCGTATAGAGTGTAGTCGTACGAAAAGGGCAACGGAATGCACAAACAAAAGGACCGATTCTTATGAGCATCATGCTAAGCTCGATAGCAGACTAAAGGACATCGTTGCATGCTGCAGATTGTGGCACTTGTCTGCATGCTAACAGTCCAACGGTGTGGTTCTGATGTACCGGTTATCGTGAGAATCGCGGCTTGGCTTCAGATCTCTAGACTGAAACAGGGTCAAGCATGCTAGATGTAAGGCATAGAAGCCATGGTCGCGCATCTCAGAGGATCTTGTGTTCGCATGCAAGCGCTCAACTTGCGAGATCTATGACGACATTGATCTTCCCCTCCTAAGGGGACAGATCGGATTCGTCGCAATATTAAGTCCTTGCCCCCTCAGATTTCAGTACTTCTGGTATTAGCTCGAAGGACACCCGTGGTTCCTTGAGCTTCGCATGGCAAGCTCCCGACGCCTCATCTCATGCGAGATGGCCCTGTCGCTTCACCTTGATTTTCCAGAATGCGAACCCGAAATGTAGATCTCTGGATCCTCCCGCGTCGGCAAGCGGCGGCTTCTCCACCACAGATCATTCGCTATTTTTTGGCGATATTGAGTGACACTATTCCCGTGGGAAAGGTCCGTTAAGTAAGCACAGACGGACGCCTCACTGATATAGGGCGTCCTCTGGTCCAAATGGGTGATTAACGTTTGGGAGCAGCGCTACACTTGTCACGAAACGCTCTTTTCGGCACGTTACGCTACCAGAGAAGATAGCCAGATTCTGCGCAGCCAAATTAGCGCCTGTTAAAGCGGCAGATGTTCTCGAGATCGACGAGTAAGATAGAGTTCGACTACACCTGCCAAGCTCAGACGAGTTCGCGCCACGAAATCGCCTCGGCACACAACGGGATGATAACGTTGCCATCACAGTTGTAGCCTCAAAGGAGACCTCTTCACAGGTGTAGAGGACTGGTATCTGTTGCTCAGCAACCCTGTCCACAGACACCTGAGGCCTTGTGACAGCAGTATCAACTTTTGAAAAGACGTATCGCCAGCGCACACAACACATTCATCCGAGACCTGGGGCGCTCGCGACCAGGCGATATTGATCTTCGCGCCGGGCTTGCTTTTTTCGTAAAATCGCCTATCGAGTGGGTTCTCGTACGACGTGGCGTGTGGGATATCAAACGCTATTAGGGCGTTTCGGGCTGCCCTGCAGTAAGAGGCTTACTAGCTTCCACGACTCGCACGTGATAAATTGGTGGATTGCGAAGTTATCTGATGGCTGGCGGAGACAGAGTGTCGATTCTGCACTAGTAGGGGCGGGTCGCCTGGTTCCGCGATCAGCTAGGTCGAGGCTACATAGCAGTCCCAAACCGCTAACTTCCTGGCTTCGGATCATGCGCCTACTGACGTACCAGGTCAAAAAAGGACGGCCAAAAGCGGCTACACGCCGTGTCTGTGATGGCGGAACGTCTCTGCCAGAGGAGGCCCTAGGGAGATGCTGATCAGCAAGGCTGTATTGACATGGACGCCGCGATCAGCCGCACGAGGAAAGTGGAAAAGATGCCCAAAGACTCCACAAGATAGACCGAGGTATAGCGGAGTAGCCAGCTCAGCAAAAACTGGTACGCCATTTCTCCTGACGTCTATCTCCGTCACTCGAGGTACTATGGCGCTTGCGAAATTAGCCTCCGCGAGCCTGGATCAACTAATGCTGGACTACTTTCGGGGCCTTGACCGAAAGCCAGATTTCTTTTGTTCTATGCACACACGTTGATTTGGGGTCTGCGTTCTAGAACGGTTCAAGGGTACCATAGGAGACTATCCACGTCTCAATCACAACTACACTGCTCACCATCCAGGTAGCGGTGAGCTCGGTGCTTTTTTGCCTCGATCAGCACGGCTAGATTGACCGCCGTTGTGCTTGGGTTGGGTAGCACGGCTAGAAGGACAATCTTCCGTTATTGTGTGTTGTCAAGACCCTCATCATAATTCGGGAGACGACTGATCCGGAGCTTCAGAGAGTTTACTGTGATTAATGCGTTCACTAGTAATCCTTGAGGTTTTACCATCATCCGTTGGTTAAAGGTCGATCGCATTTGCATCACTCACAGCTAGGTGTAGGTTTCTATCGAATTTTGATCTACATAGACAGAGAGTGAATCGTTGCGGATCGAGGCTACTCGGGAAAAACCAGTGGCAACCAGAGTGATGAAAATGCGCACCCGCTATGCTGCCTCAGGAGACGCCTTTGCCGACATTGAAACCTGGAAGGATAAAGCACTATGCTAGCCTCCCCCAAGTTCTCTGTCGAAGGTCTCGAAGTTTATAACAATAGTACAACGACTGTCAAAAAAAAATGCTTGGTTGCTCCAGACTGCAGTCCCTACGAACATGTGACAAGTCAGTGTCTGATTGGATCAGCTGAGGTAGTCGAGCGGGCTGAGTCGAGTACAGAGACAAGTACATTGATGCCAGTGGTTAGTACTGTATCAATCAGTACCATTATCTCTACACGATACCACTATCTTTATTTATTTGGTCCTCTGATGCCGATTGCATATTCAGAGTTAACAGGTACTGGCTAACCTTTTTCAGTTCCCAGGCCAAAAACATAACAGAGTAAGTTACTTTGACAGAAATAACGCCCAGTATTTTTTCACAAATGTTCTCTGTCAACATATTATTTCCATGGGTTACATTATCTGCGGTCGCTGTTAATAACTCGCAGCGTTGGTCTGTTCTCTTTAGTCATTGCGCCCAATTTATCCTGTCTTTTATCTGCAAGACTGCGACACCAACAGCTTTCTGTATTTACGCAACTCCAGCCCGTCTTCCACATTGCTCAGAAAGGCATGTCCGAGCTCTGATGCTGTAATACCAGTGAAGCTTGCTGCTGCTAAGGTCTTTTGAGCCCGTTTCAAAAGCGCAATGTACAAAAGCACCTGTTGAGGATTCTTGAGGCCAATGGCTTTAGAAGTAAAGGCTTCGGTTATGATGGTGTGCTAGCAAGCAAGGTATACACTGTTTCTTACTCCAGGAATCAAACTAGCTAACCTTTTCCCCATAGCTGCAATAGGTATGGGATGCTACCTACTTGGTACTGTAGTTTCGAGTACTTGTTCCGTGTTTTAAGATACCAAGGCGGTTCAGTATGGGGATGCGCTGTATTGTGAGAGCTCGAAGAAAGGTACGACTGGTGATAAACAAGCAAACGCCATCTCACTGAACCAACTTGAGACCTTTGTCTACCAATTAGTCTCAATCCAAAGTTCAGTGTGCGATGGAATATATTTCGGGCATGGTAGCGAGGATTGACGAGGCAGACGCTGCAGCTGTGGGTGGGCGCTACTACCACGGTACGGTATAGTGCATGGCGTAGGCGCCGAAGCGGCGGGAGATCGTCCAGGGCCCATCTGTCATCTCAGATCTGCCACATGTCACAGTGAAGATGTAGATGCAAATGTTTGACGGCTTGACAATGTTCCGATTGCAGCGACGCGACGGCTGAGATGCAGCATCTCATTTAGCGACGGCGCTGGCTTTGATGAGGTGCAGCAGGAGTCATGCGGCTACGACAGGGGTTCCAGGTCTGCTGTTTGGCAACCCGCCTCGATTCCCTTGACGATGCATGGCAAAGGTCGCGCAAAAGGGCGTCTCGCTCACAGGGCTAAGTGCAAATGCTGTGGGCAAGACTGTGGGCAAGGCACGATGCTCGAGGGTGTGGTCGCACGGAAAGGCCAGCCTTACAGTGCTTGACCTAGCCGATTCAGTGAGGCTTACGGCTAGCGCCCGTCTCCAGGAGCGAGATCATACGACTTGTCGAACCACCCCATCACACTGCCAGAGACGCACACAATCACAACCCCGGCCCAGTAGGACGATTTCTGCATGCGATTCCAGTAGCTGCTGTTCGGCCGTACACGCACTTCCCGTAGCGCAGCAAATCCCGGTGCTCACGAGTCCGATCTGCCGCCCGCATTCGCGTCGTGAGCCTGCGAAGGAGTGGCATGATTTCCATATTGTGCATGTCCAAGTAGTCGGTAAGAGAAACTCCTTCCTTCTCTGCCAAAGCCCATTCTCTGCATACACAACCCATCTTGTTGTTGTTGTTGTTGCTGTTGTCGCAGCCAGCAGCCCGCCGCCCCAATGGCTTCTGACCCGTACGGCAGCCCCGACGATGGGCTGGAGTTGGAGCGAATCGCCGTGCGTGACGCAGTGCTTTTGCTAGCCTCTGCTCTCTGTGCTAACATGTTCGCGCACCTCAGGTCGGACCCTACTGCGTGTTTGACGACTTCAGACTCCCTCCCAGTCCCGCGCCCATCGATCCGCCTGTCCCCGACGAGGACCGGCACACGGCCAAGATGGAAGATCCCCTGCTCTCGAGCGACTTCCCCTTTGCCAGCATGCGCGCTCCGTGGCTCACCACCGCCGGCGACGACATGACGCTCACGGCTCCCGCTGACGACATGACCAACTGGAACGAGTGGATGCAGTACGATCCCGCCCAAGCGTCTCAGAACACCCAGAATGTCGACCCCAAGCCCGCGAATCCGCAGGGGCCTGCCGCATATCTCAGCCCCGATCAGCAAACCTCGCCCCATTCCCTCTCCCACCAACAGTCCCAACCGCTGCAGTCCAGCACCGTACCCACGACCGCTCCCATGTTTTCCCACGCACATGCTGTCCCCTTCACCTTTGGCCAGGCCGCCGACGTACCTCCGGCCTTTGACTTCAATGGCAATGCCATGAGCTCCCCGCTTACCGCTGACATGCAGCAACAAAACGCCTTTTATGCCTCTCACCAATGGCAGCAGCAACAGCAACAGCAACACCAGCAGCAACAACTAGCTGACAACGCTCTCTTCTCGCCCACGCAGTACGACCAGAACGGCTTCGTCGCACCACAACCACCAGCCTCGACGCCCAGTCTCCACCATAGCCCAAACTCTCTGAGCAACGGACGAGCCAGCTCAACCTCGTCGCATTCGTCACCAGAGCCTGTCACGACCAATGTACGAAAGAGGAAGTCACTGGCTGACTCCGAGGAGCTCGACGACGATGCGCCCTCAAGTAAGAAGGGAGGACCACCCAAGAAGACTGCACACAACATGATTGAGAAGCGCTATCGGACCAATCTCAACGACAAGATTGCTGCTCTTCGCGATAGTAAGTCACTCTTCAACCCGTCTCTCGACACTTGCGCTAATCCATGAGAAAGGTGTACCCAGTCTTCGCGTCATGTCACGGCCGAACGGTACCGAAGAAGACGATGACCCCGAGGATCTTGAAGGTCTCACACCCGCACACAAGCTCAACAAAGCCACTGTACTCTCCAAGGCCACAGAGTATATCCGACATCTGGAAAAGCGCAACAAACGTCTACAAGATGAGGTCAACACCTTGAAAGGACGGGTAGAGAGCTACGAAAAGATGGCCATATCGGGTCCCATAACCTTACATGGCACTGTGGGCACACCTGATGGCTCAAGATTCCATAAAGATCCTTTCACGCCCACACACGGCATGCCAATGTCGGGACCGCCACAAGGAATGATTCCAGTTCCTGACAACATAAGTGCTCTCCAGCGCGGTCTCCCACCACAACAGCACTATGCACCTGCATACCCGCCAGGATACGGCGGTCGCCCAGCAGTTGCCGCGCCCATGGTCAACGGCCGGCGCAATGGTGCCATGATGGGCAAGCTCATGGTCGGATCTCTCGCGGGCCTGATGATACTTGAAGGACTCGTAGAGCGGGAGCAGTCGCAAGAAGAGCCAGCTGGTCGTGGTCTCTTCGCTCTGCCCGTCAACCTCGCTAGCATTCTTGCTCCTCGCGTTTCTCTAGGCGTATCCACAGCTCAGATCCCCATGGCCAAGCTTCTTTTAGTCTTCTTTGCTTTCTTCTACCTTGCTGCACCATTGCTCGACTTCAGATCGAAACCGAAGAAGAAGTCACCTCCAGCTATCCTCTTGACACCCGCACCGTCATTGGCCTCACCTGTAGAAGTACGTCGCAAGGCATGGCTCACTGCAATTCAAACTGTCTGGGTTCCACAACACAATTTCATCTTAGAGCTTGCTGCCTTGGGCTTGAAAACACTTAAGCTCAGCATGCGTAGGCTTGTTGGCTGGGAGGGATATGCATATCTTACTGGCATTACCAAAGAACAAGAGGCAGCTCGTGTCAAAGCCTGGGAAATTGCCTTGGATGCTCAGCTTACAGGCGGCGACGCTGAGATCAGCAAGAGCCGTTTGGTACTTACCTTGATCGCCTCTGGCACCCTACCAGATACACCAGCAAGGCTCATGCTCAAGGCTTTGCATCTTCGAATCGTGCTTTGGGAACTTGGAAACGCAGGTCATGGCTCGTGGTGGTTACTCAACGACCTGAGCGCAAAACTGGCACGAAGCTACTGGAACATGGCGCGAAGCGAGCACCGTATTGCTACCAACATGTCGAAACAGAACAGCGAAGCTCAGCCGTTACCAGAACATCTCGCAGCACTCATTGAGAGGGAGTGCGACGATGTGCTTGTTCCTGCGGTTGTGCAGCGGGCATACAACCTGGCTTGGAATAAGCCAAGCGCAGAACAGACAGTCGTAGATACCTCCATGGATGCTGTTGTCGAGGACTTCGCCATCTGCTCGCCTTTGGATGCTCTTGCCGCCTGGTACTCTAGCCTTGTACTGAACAAAGGACTTGCAGCCACGCTTGGTGCGAAAAACAGCTCGTCCAAGGACAATGTCGTTACCGACCTAGCACTTGCTCTCCAAGCTGCCCCTCCCAATTCACAAGCTCAGCTACGTGCACTAGTTGCTCAAGCTGTTGTACTAGACGACGATCGCAACAATCGCATTGCAGCAGCAATGGAAGCTCTTCATCTCCCAAACCTGCAGATGCTGGCTTCATCAATATCGTCGGCAATGGCTTCGTCGCAATCGATGTGCGCAAAGCACTTACTTTGGCCAAGTGCCTCTCTCTGGCCGCCTCCTCAAATCCCGAAGCCCGCCGCCGCGCCATCTTCGTCGTCAACAACACGTATCTTCCCGAATGCACAACTACACTCCTCAGTTTTGTCGCTGGTCACAAAGTTCTCACGCAATTTATGGCTGACGAAAAATTGAAGAAGGAGACTAGCTGCGGTCTAGAGCGCACTGCTAGCTCCCTTCGCATGTGGATCGGTCACGACACTGGTAAGAGGAGCGGACTGAGCAACAAGGTTCGATGTAAGATTGTGAATAGCTGCCTTGATGCGAGCAAGACTTTAGTTGGATTGGGAGAGAAGAAGAAGAAAAAGGAGGAGTCGGATGTGGACGACGGCTACGTCAGTGCCAGTGTCAAGGACGATTGAAGGTTTCGCGTTTTATGATCTGTTATGCGATCGGGTTGGTCTTTGAATTGGGAATCGGGAATGGGACGACATGGGATCCTCATATCTCACAGGCGTTTATATGGAGATATACACGGCATGGATATGCCTGACATACTGTTCATCATGTTCAAGAGGAATAGCGCATTCCGTCCTTTTACCGTTTTGTTGTTTCTTCATAAAGCTCGTATAGTGTAGAACACATGCTCTTAATGGCTTTATGCGATCGAACCTTGTTCGATGTTCTTCAAGTCCTCGTCCTCTCCATGTGACTTGATGGCAATGACTATGTATATTTGTAGGTACTAGTGTAGTGTATATATTCTTGAATACGACAGGACGCTGGCTTCGAGTGGCACTGTGAGCATGAATGTCTTCGTGCCGAACATAACAATGTTACAGGGCAAGGGATGTGGATGCAGATACTCGTGCATTTAGGTTGCTACATTTTTTTTTTACAAGTTGCACGTGCGTTCATGTTCATATCTCTACATCATTGATTCCTGACGCAGCCAGAGGCCCTCAAAAACGTCACAATGAGTAGCACTGATGATCCATCCTTGGCTATAATGACATGTTCAATCTGTTGGAGAAAAGCCATGGAAAGAGATACAAGAACGGATCCTATTCCCAGCATACCGCAAATGAGCAACACAACCGCCTCTTAACACGCTGCTGATACCAGAGAATCCATCAATCAGTGAGGAGCCCTGTTATGATGGTTAGTGATAGTACAGAGGAAATGAAAAAGTAGTGGTGCATACCACAGCCGAATAATGTGCAGGCGAACCAGCGCTCGTACTCTTCGGCATCTCTCCTAATGCTCCGTCACATGGTCGCGCACTGAACACCAGGGTTCTGCGGTATCTTGTCAAACTTGGGAGAGATGCTGCATCTAGACTTCCTGATCTTTGTACATGGCTTGTTGGTAGTGTTTGCTTTGGTCTGAGCGCAGATACGAATGGACAAAAACCAAGTTCTTATGGCTTCAAGAGAGGTGGCTGATGCAAGGTCTTCTTCTGCATGTTTGGGTGATGGTAGATCGGAGAGCAAGTATGTGGGTTTCATGGCGCTCTTCACTAGGATGTTGAGAGTGCGGATGGCGAAACTGAAGATGATCATCTTGATGAGAAGGCAGACATCAGAGGGCTGAGCCAGCAGCATTGTGAGAATTCTGATCATTACGTTGCTGTCCTTGAGAGGTTGCGACTATGTCTTCGGACCTCGTCGTTTTGGAATCGCCAGGAATGTTCGGATGAAGGGTTGTGAATAGTCGAGTGTGCTGCGACGATAACTGACAAAGTGCGAGTAGACGGTAACAGTGCTTTTGTTGAGAAACGAGGGGAGATAGATATCTGGATATATAGACACAAGCGGTTGGATACGAGCTGTCTGTCTACCTGCTTACCATTGTCATGGCTTGCCATTGTTCTCTAGGAACGACACAACATAAGAAGTGAGGTTTTGTTGGATTAAAAGCTGCTGCCTACTCGCTTCTGGTGCTATTACGCTAACATGACTGTGAATTTACTCTCACTCTACTTTCGCGATCGCAATGGTGACGCTATACACTTTAGAGGCGAGAAATCATTGCGACACCAAATGTTTAATATCATTGTCGAAATTGGACACGAAGAACAGAAACGAGGCCGATAATGCATATAATTTATTTTCATAGGTGAAGGGGAAGCGTTAGGGATAATAGCTATCTTGAGCAGTAAAGTCATGTCACTGCTACCAGTCTCGTGCTACTCTCAACTAAACACTCACCAAAGCTGGGTACATATATCAATAAGTTCGTAAGACATATATTACTATACTATTTACACACCAATGACCAGCATTTCATCTACTACCATCGATACCATCGTCAAATATTTACACCCAGCCCTCGTCCCTCTTTTTAAGATATTTCATCTCGTATATTACACTTCGTCAACGTATCATCGACATGCTTAGTTGCCCTTGCCAAGGCCTCCGAGAAGACCAGCCAGACCAGCAGCGGCACCGTTGGCCTTACCCTTGCCCTTGCCCTTTGTGTTCGCCGTTGCCGCATCACCCGCCTGAGCACCCAAAACGTTCTTGGGGTTAGTTCCAGCATTGTTGTTCAGCACCTGTCCGCCGCTGATACCACCCCTGGGGGAGACATTGTTGTTGGCCTGAGCAGCCTTGTTCTGGTACTGGGTCACGGCTTGAGCGTTGGGTGGGTTGATGACCATGACCATGCCTTGCTGGCAATGCTGGGCTTGAGAACAGTAGATGTACATAGGCTGGTTGTCGGTGATGGGAACCATGAACATGGGGGTGTTTCCAGCTTGGCGGTTGTTGTTGCGGTTGCGACCGTTGCCAGCGTTGCCACCACCGTTACCGTTTGGAGAACCGTTGGGGTTACCAGGGATGGGTTGGAAGTCGGAGAAGATTGCGTTCTGCTGAGGTTGGCAAGGGGTGTTTGCGTCCGAGGAAGCTACACTGTGGTTCTGCGAGGATTGTGTTAGTATGTGATGTGACGTGGATGGATAGACAAAGACTGGCGTACCTGGCTGACGAAGTTGAAAGCGACCATGTCACCAGGCTGGGCCGTGATGGAGTTGGGTGTAAACTGGAACTTGTTGTTGGCAGCCACGGTGACCGTCATGGTGGCAGCGGATACTGTCAAGCTCTGGGCCAAAGCCGCGAGTACGATGTTGGAGAAGAGCATGTTGAAGTTGGGGTGGTATAGGATTAAGAGAGATGGGAATTATGAGTAAGAATGGGGATTAGTGAATATACTGATTAGGATATCGATGGTAGTAGAAGATGGGAAATGCACTGCAGATCTGATCCTTAGGAGACACGCCGCACTGAGGCTCACTATATACTCTGCATCTTTGTGCCTTGTAGCCTTCCTCGCTCCGTCAATTGCGCCACAAACACCGAAAAAACGGATGATGAAGCTGGCCGAAACCGTTTGCCTGATGTTCGCGACGGTTAGGAAGAAACTGGACAGCAAGATCTATAAGAGTAGGTGCTGTCAGATGTTTCGTGCCGAGTATCATGCCAAGTCCCAAACATGCGGAAACACTACTAGTGGGTCTCGTGAAGGTCCGCTCAACACGACTGGATGTTTGCTTGGGCGAGTGCAAGCAATAGAGTCTGTCTCTTGTTTTGCACGTTCCAGATGGTGTGGGACCCTAAAGCAGTCAAACGATCTCGGGTTGTCCATCATCCGTCTGCAAACTTGTAGTACTTATTGAACAGCGACCACCCCCTCGTGTGCTCACGACATGTTACCTCTTTTTCACTGATGCGCACTTTCCCCTTTACCTAGACTACATTCAGACTTCTACAAGCCCTTCCGAGTCTGGCTCTTCTCTTTGTTGCATGATGCGGATCATGCTTTCTGAATATATTGCGCCGAGCGTGCACAGGGCGATAGATGATGAGTCACCTTCTCAAATTTCCACTTTGTCATGGTAGTATTTATATGAGAGGGACCAAATAGACGCAGTACCAACTCACGAGATGCAATAGCAACGATTCCGTGGTTTAAGACGATTCATCGCGGTAAGTGCTAAAGACGAGGATCGGTGGTCCGCAGAATATGTATCCGAGAAGCTTGGAACGCGTTCGAAACATGTAGCCTTGCAGCACCAGAGTCTCCTACTTTGGACGGCGTCGACGATCGTGTCCGTGAAACAGAGCTGCACAAGCGCGTCCTAGTTTAGCGCTGATGGTGCGTAAGCTGACAGTTTGGTGAGGATGCTCGTCTGCGCGACTCGAGTAAGGATATTAAGTTTGAAGCATTACTGTACCACTGGAAATACGATACCTCACACACACTGCGCAAACATGCTTCGCAATGTCCATAGTAGTTGGTTGTGCGCCTCATTCTTGCCTTTGTTCTGCGCTTCTGAACGGAACCATGCGCCCCACAAAATTGTTGCCGCTGTGTTCCGGTCCAGAGTGGATGCGCAGTTCTGATGTGCTTCTTTTCGAAGAAAAGAATCGGCTGGTTCGGTCGTATGCAGTAAGTTACTGCCCGCTAAAGATGGCGGCCCTGACCCGAACGGCTGCCAGTACAGCACCGGTATCGTGCCGAATAGCTCTGATGCTAGATTCAATAGTCGCATTACCCAAACGGTAGCGGCATCTGACGTCGCACAGGAGGCGGAAGAGGCGTAGCTGGCAAGTGAGATGCTTGGGACGACATCCAGGTGTTGGGTAAGAGCGTGTCGATGCAAAGACGCGGTTAACCCCCCGCACGCGAATGAAGATCAGCGTTCGAGCATGGCCCTGACAGCGGACTTCGGAATCCCAGAGTGTCGGCGGCCCAAACGCTAGTCGACGATAACGAGAGCATGTTTCACGCTTTCGAGTATGGCTTGGCAGGCGTTCCTGCAGGGAGTGTGTAGCGAAATGAGGGAGCGACAGTTTCAGACCGAGACAGCAGGGTAGACCCGGGACGACACGGCAGGCGACAGCGACGACGGGGTCGCACGAGCAGTTGCACGAGTCGATGGAAAGACCGCGGAAGCCGACGCGTGTAAAAAGGTGGAAAAAAAGGGACTGGATTGCGAGGCTAGCGGCAACCCACCGAGAATTTGTCTGGATCTGCACTGGAAAGCGTGACCTGACAGCCAGGTCCGGGGTCGGCACACCAGCAAGCATGCTCCTCCCGCACGACATGCATTGCAGATTGCGCGTAGGAAGATGCGGACATTTGCAAGATGACTGCTGACAGGTGATTTGCGCTGCGTGGTGCAGGGCTTCGAAGCCATTCATGCGCACGCCGCGCTGGCCGTGGTTGAGCACGAGGGAGGACGGCACACCAATGCATTTGCAGAGACAGAGATGGAGCGGATGAACAGGTGGTGGTGGGTATATTTAGGCGCAGTGTGCGTGGCTGAAGGGCTGCGGTGGCCTCGATGGCGCTGGCCAGTAGCAGTGGGCAGGCGCGTAGCCGCCGTTGGTGACTACTGAGACGCTACGAACGACTGGCCGACATGGCGTAGATAGACGCTATCGATGCAGTGGATCACGTCTTGCGGTGTGCTCGTGGGCAGCGCGCCCGAGCAATGAGAAGACGTCTAACGCTGTTTCGGTGGTTCTGTTTGCCAGTCGCTCTTGCCATGCTGGGCCCGCTGCGAAGGAAGGCACTGTGGGCTGCGAGGAAGGGGACGGTCGTGGCGTCGGGCAGGAGCGCTCCAGGGCCCTCGCCAGGTGCGGCAGGAGCGACCATCCCGTTCATCCTCAGCACCTGAAACCCAAGAGGACACCGAACGCTTTGTATACAGTGGCAGCACTCAACTCTACGCATGGCATCGTCTACGCATCAAAGCGAGCCCTCTCACACAAGGGCATTCGCACGCAGGAACGGCCCAAGCTCAGTTATTACGCATCAGGCCCAGCGTTTCAAGCGTGCGTCCAGGTCTGCAGCGTGTCCAGGGGGGCTGCATTGGGCTAGGCTCGATGCAGGGTCGCTGCCACAGGTCCCCGTCACTTATAGCGCTCGCATTCGTCCATGGCTCTCTGCTCCTCCGCTGCTCGTCACTTTTCTCTCCTGGCCCCTCCAACTCGCCCTTTCCTCTCTACCTCTCTCCCTTCGCTCTCTTCGACAACACAGTGCCGCTTCTGCATCTTCTACCTGCTCCCCCAGTTGGACCAGCTTATCCCCCGCCTAATCTGAGATTGTGCGAGCGCGCCAGTCCCGTCGCTCCTCCGAGAGAAGAAGAGCTCGCCAGCCGACGCATCAACCACCAGCTTGTCTGCCCTTGATCTCGTCACTGCCTGTTCGTGTATCCAACATCATAAAATTATCTTCGCCCGTCTGCTTCGCGTCTCTGTCTGTTGGACCGCGCCTTCCCGCTGCAACCACTCGATCCTTCCGATAGCAGAACCCTCAACGACCTAGCGACCCAAGAACTTGTTAATAGCTCCAACTACATTGCCCATCGGCCGGTTTTCGATAACAACTCTACCTTACAACCCCGATCTGTACGATCCTTAATCCCGTAATCGCCAGCCAATCCGCACTTCTGCCTTGCAGCAAACGTCTTCGGCTTTCTGTCTGCGCCAGCACTCCCTCTTCCGGCCTTCTTCGATTCTGTATCTTTCCCGTGTGCGCTCAGCATACTCCTTGTTGCACTCTTACCCTTTCTTCGCAACTCTTCTTAGACCACCACAATGAGCATGGACGCTGGCGGTCTTGCTCAAATGACCTACAACAACTTCCAATCCCAGGGCGGCTTCGGCGGCCCCACCTCGAGCTTTGCGTCTCGTGGCAAGGGTGCTCAGCTTAAGCGTCTCAGCGTCGCTTCGCCGCCCAAGGTTGCTTCCATCGCCGAGGACTCGGTTGCGACTCCTCGCACCAGCCGCTCCCATCTTCTGGCCGGCCTCCGCACCGCCCCCAAGACGCCCACGTCTGCCCAACCCCCTGCCTCGGCTCCTTATTCGCAGCGCCAGCACAACGTTGGCAACAACAATGTCAACCGCTCCTCGAGGCAGTTCAACGGTGCAAACCAGGGCCCCCAGACTGCCATCGGCTCTGGATTCAGCGGTGTGAACCAGTACCAGCAGCAACAGCAGCAGCAGCAACAGCAGCCCGACTTCTACAACCAGGTCCTCGCCCCTCCCCAATTCGAGTTCGATGACGGCGAGATGGATCCCAATGTCGCGGCTCAGCTGTTGGCTACCGAGCTGTACCTCGCCCAGAGGCAGCAGCAGCTCCAGCAGCAACTCCTTGCTCTGACAACCCAGCAGTTCGGCAACATGAACATGAGCGGTGGACAGCAGTACCCCAACACGCCATACACCCCCCAGATGAACGCATATGGTCAGCAGTTTGGAAACACTGCTGCCATCCAGGAGACCAACCAGCCCGGCGTCTACCTAGTCTTCAACCAGATGACTGGCCAGTACCAGTATGTTGTGGACCCGAACTACCAGCAAGACAACGGCGACATACAGGCTCAGAACGGTATGCCGGGCTTGTCGCACTCGCCTCCTCCGCCAACTCCTCGCTTCGCTCCATCGCCGCCCAAGGTTGACACTCCGGTACTCCATGTGTCTCCTCCTAACGAGAGCAACCCCAGCCCGTGGGGTTCGCGCAGCACGTCTCCGCCAAAGAAGTCCAACACTCCCCCTCAGGATGTTGTACCGCTCCCCCCACCATCTGCTAACGCTTTCCGTCGAGGACACAAGAAGAACTTGTCTTCTCTTGCTGTTGACGGCAAGGCTGAAGAGGGACCTCGTTCTGCCTTTGCTCGCCCTGTTGGCTTCCCTGCTACCCCGATGACAGGTACATTCGGCCCTGGTCAAGCACGTGCTGGAGAGCACCCAGTACGTCAGCCTCGCAACCCTCCTTCCATCGAGGAACTCAAGGAGCGCCCCACTACCAAGCATGAGGGTAGCAAGAACTTTGCTACTCGTCAACGTCGCCAGGCTGTGGGCAACCTTGTGCGAGCTGGCATTGGCCGTCGTGCTCACCGCACTAGCAGTGGAAGCGCCTCACCTGACAGCGACCACTTCCCTTCATCTGACAATGACTCGGACAGCGTTCGCAGCGGTGGAAGCGGTAGCCTTTCGGGAAGGCCGAGCATCGGTAGCCTTCGTGCTGTTGCCAATGGCGCCATTGGATCGGAGCGCAAGGCTTCCAAGGAGCGATCCCGCGACAACTCCATCAACCGCTCCTACACTGCCAACAGCGTTAGCAGCGATGACGGTGCTTCCATCGGAGGCGGTCTGGTCGACATCCGTCCCGAGGAGAACGGCCAACGCCGAGGCATGCCCAAGCTTGTTCTCACCAGCGCTGAGAAGCGCAAGAGCACTGTGTTCTAGGCTTTCAACTATGGATTGGAAAGAAAAACTGGGAAATTCATTCCCTTGTGCATATTACTGTGGCGCTCTTCGGACGCCTTCTGTTACGGCCCATTACGAACCTTTCCTTGCTTGTTAGTTCATTTGTTTTTTGCACTTGACTAAGGTCACTTTTGCCATCTTTCGAATATCACGATTACCCTTCGTCTCTTACCCATTGGGAAGATCTTCTTTTCCACCCCTTCTTGTTTCCCAGACTCTTATGCGAACTGCTTTTAATGAGCACGGTGGGAAGGCTCTATGGTTTTTGGCCCGGCGATTTGGACGGGCGAGTTGGGATATGCTTCATGGACGTGAGCTCGATTGCCTGTGGCTAGAGCTCATTGCCTTCTTTGGGCTTCTGTTTTGTGTTACCATTGTTTGTTGGAGATTGTGTGCTTTTGACCAATCCGTTCGCTACCGCTGCGGCCTGGGTGGCAAGGCGATGCAAAGAGAAGAGTGAATCATGTAGGATGAGATACCTAAATGCAATCACACTCGCTTTCGAAATATGCTTCAATCTGATTGTGAAGTGAGGCCATCATTATACGGTTTGGGGTCGCTTTTGCCAGCAACGGATACATGACGCTTCGCAACAGACCATGTGTGCCTGCGAATCAGCTAGCAAAATCATGAGTCGAGTTTGTAAATCCGGAGATTTGATCTCCATCTGTGCTCAGCGAGAACTCTATCAGGGTAATAGCTAATCTCGGTACTCTAGTGCCTCCAAAGGCGTTCAACGGTGATCGACATGATGCTCGCGTGGTGTTGAGGCTAAAGAATCGATAAGCGTCGTAAGGCTGATGGTTGGTGTCGCATCGCGGGGCAAGTGCGAAGCTTCAATTGTCAATACCAAAATTCCCCCCCACACACACTGCGCGTTCCGAACTCATCCACGCCTTTGATATACCTGTCGCACCGCTCTCTGGGTACATGCACGATTGCAGAGTTGCGACAGCCTACACATAACAACACGACCCGCAATGGCTGAACCTCCGGTCGTTCCTCCAATCGAACCCCCACCACCACCAGAGACGTCGCGTCCTCTCCATACTCTCCCTCCACCCTTCTCTCACGACGCTCTCGAGACCATAACACAAGGTGCCGAGGCCCTTGTATACAAAACCACCTTCCTCACGCCGAGTACGCCCGTCGTAGTCAAATACCGACCACCAAAGCCGTACAGACATCCTACTCTAGACAAGCGTCTTACAAAACAGAGGTTATTGGCCGAGGCTAGGAGTCTGATCAGGGTCAAGAGAGATGGCGTCAACGTACCAGGTGTGATTGGCGCGGATTGGGATGCGGGGTGGTTAGTGCTGGAATATGTAGATGGTAGGACTGTGAGGAAAGTACTAGATGGCTGGGCGCATCAAGTAACACAGCGCAAGAAGGACGAAAAAGCCACAGAAGGAGTAGACAAGGGGGCCAACGAAGCGCCGAAAGAAGAAGAAGCTGAAATACTCGACCTAATGCGAAGAGTAGGGCGGGAAGTAGGAAAGCTGCACGAACTCGGGGTATGTCACGGGGATCTCACAACCAGCAATATCATGCTACGGACACCGAAACCACAAAACACGGAGACAGAAGAGCAGCAGCAAAAACCACAGGGACGTCAAACAACAAGTAGTCTCCGCGAAGCAGCGATGCGCGGCGAAGAACCTTCAGACCTTCCGCCCGCCAACCCTCCGCAACAGTCCGATCCTACCACTTCACTGTCCGGCGACATATTCCTCATCGACTTCGGCCTCACAACTGCCAGCATACAAGACGAAGATAAAGCCGTTGACCTCTACGTCCTCGAAAGAGCGTTTTCAGCAACGCACCCAGCTGCAGAACCGCTATTTCAGGAGGTCCTGAAGGCATATGGAGAATGCGGGAAGGGTGCGAGAGGGGTCTTGAAGAGACTGGAAGGGGTACGACTTAGAGGACGGAAGAGGAGTATGCTTGGGTGAATAGATGGAGTGATATGATGTTCCCAGGTGTAAGAAAGTGATCATGGAATGGGAACGAAGCATATGTATTGAAGCAAAGCATGTGCCAACAGTACCGTGTATGAGTCGTCTTCGTACCACACACAAGAAACAATTAGACGAACGCGAAAGAGAGTTGTTAAGGCGGAGATCATCAGGATAGTGATATTAAGAATCTACATCTGACTACCATATCCGGAACATGCCAACTTGGCTTCCTTACAATTGACCCAATGGTGCGCCATCAAGCTTGAAGTAGCCGGGTTGGAGAATCTCAAACACACCAGTGGGGTCGTACTTCTTCGAGATCGCCTTCAACTTAGCCTTGTTCGCTGCACCGTACCCAGCAATGGGGTCTTGGTAAGGACTGGCGTAGTTCATGTACAGGTAGTCGGTGTCTTTACCCTTGGCCTTGGCTGCGGCTACGCAGCGGTCCTTGACACGTGCGGCAAACTTGTCCAGTCTCTCATCATCTGCGCTGTTAGACCACTTCATGGCAACAAGAGCCAACATGAGAGGTCCTTCTTTCGGGTCAAAACCAAGCGCATTGCCTCCCTTCTTGGCACCTGCCTCGATGATGGGTTCGGTGATCACCTGAAGAGAAACAGCTGGGAGAAGATCCGCCGCGTCAAGAACATCAGTGATTTCCTCAAAGAAAACATCCTTGGTCACAGTGGCCATCTCCACATCAAGCTTGGTTGACCAGGTCCAGAAAGCCTGTCGAAGACCTGCACCGCTAGCGGGGCCTTCTAGGATCGAGGTAAGTTCTGCGAGACTCTTAACGCCTGTTCCATCTGCGATCTGTCCTGTAATGTTGTTGTACTCCGCGAGTATTGGTGCGTCAACAACAGGGTCTGAGTACTCTAGCTCAACCTGAGCAACCTGGCCGATTTCAGAACTCCAGCCGAATGACAAGATTTGGTGGGCCTTTCCATCTTTGTTTGCGTTCATTCCGAGGTTGTAGTATGCCCTGATCAGGGCGGGAAATTCAGAGATATAGGTTCGCATACCGCCCCACATGGTCGGCGCTCTGGGAATGGCGTTGACGTTGAACTTTGTGACAATACCAAAGTTGTTACCACCACCTCGGAGAGCCCAGTAAAGATCTGGGAACGAGTTCTGGCTGACATTGATGATGAGTCCAGACGCAGTGACTACCTCATACGAGATGACATTGTCGCATGCCAAACCGTACATACTTGAGAAGTACGAAATACCTGAAGTCAGAAGTTAGCATCTGTTGGCTGCTAGTCTTAGGACGTCCCAGCACTTACCACCTCCAAGTGTTAATCCTCCCACACCGACACTGGCGACCTGAATTATAATTAGTGATGTGCCCACCTATCTGGATATAGTCCTACTTACTCGGCCACCAATAATGGCAAGGTTTTGCTTCTCCAGCGTTGTGTATACATCATACCATGTTTGACCGGGTTCAAATGTAACGCTTTTTTTGTCAGAAGATGCTATCGTTTTATTCATCTTCTCGAAAGTGATGGTGATGCCGCCCTCAATATTCGAGCCGCCGGGTACTGCCGAATGGCCTCCACTCTTAACTGCAAAGGGACATTGCGTAAGACGGGACAGAAGGATGGAAGTTGATACATCCAACGCTTTCTCGGGCTTAAAGACACATTGGGGAGAGATTTGTCTTTGTTGACCTGACCAGTAACTACCAACAAAAGCGCTGTACGCGGCTTCGGATTGTGTTTCAATCTGGTCATCACCAAAGATCAATTTTAGGGAGTTACACTGGCGAATCATCAGTACTGAAATGAGATTGGCATTGTCTAGAATTAGTACTTACGGCGATAGAGCAGCCACTCAACAATGATCTCTCTACCAAAGGCGCAAGCTCAGGTATAGCAGAGACATTGACACCATTGTCGAGCAATGCCTCAGTGATGTTGAAGTCTGCGGGTTCGAATGTAGCTTGCGAAACAGCGCCAGCCACCAAGGCGGCAGATGAGATGGCGTACTTCATCGTTTCGACTGCAAGAACAGGGCTAGGCGACCGGAAAAATCGACAAAAAGAACCGTTCAAATGCGACGAGAAGGCACAGCGTGCAGGAAGACCCGGAGAATGCCGTAGGATTACAGGGAAGAGTCTGCAAAGATGTTGGATGCGACCCAGTACTAGGGAATCACATCCTTTTATTTCTGTTATCTCACGTATGGAATATCGGCGGTTCCAATATTCCGGGGCTCCGCGGACGCTGTGACCAGAAGCTACAGTTGTGTTGGAGGTCCTAACATTCTAGATGATCCATCCAGTCTTAGAAAGGTTAAGCTGACATGCAGTGTCAATCAAGGGGGATTCGGCCAATACTTCTCACACTGACGGGGACGTCTAGTTCTCATCTGCGTTGCTCTCAGAAGGAAGGGTAAACAATGACTCTTGAGAAGTATCTAGAAGACCGTTAGTTTATGCGTTCATAACTGGATTATTATGAGTGCTTTCACTGCAGTTCTTGGCAACAACACGCCCCAAAGTACGAAAGGCCGGTGGTGCTCTTCATTTCTGCTCAAACCAGGGTTATTGGTGCTCAGAGGTACGGAAAAGACGGAATTGCCGAGATACTAGGTATACATGGATGGAATCCTCATCCAATTACGCCGCATGACCGCGCCGCAGAACGGCAGCATCCTTCGCACAGACGGCACATTCGCACAGTCTTCGTACTATTCAGACTGGCCAATGCAGAAAACCTCAGCGGTGAACGATGATACGCAAAGTCGCAAGTATTCTGATACCACGTGTGTTGATGATGGGAGATGCAGACTTCCTGGCGTTGTGAATGTTCCCAAAAGTGGGTTCATGAGGCTAGGGTACTTCCGCCAATGCCGCCCGCCGCCCCGATAAGGCCGCTTCGCCAGGCACAGCCCCTTATTTTACCCGCCGGGTGGCCCTAGCACTGATGCCTCCCACATACATCAAAAAGTCCGAGGTGGCGTTCAACCTGCTATGCCGCTCTAACAGATGCGAAGGGGACGCGGATCGTAGTGTGCTTTACAGCGTCACCTTCCACCTGTCTGGTTCATCGACTGAATTCCGATTTGAACATACCACTCGATTTACCTTGTAGCCGTAGCGGAACTGCACGTACGAGCGTCACCGTGTCTTTACATGCGGAGACAACAACTAGAACTTCAAGAGGATGCTTACGTCCGGATCTCGCCACCGTAGTAAGGATTCAGATGAGCCATTTGCTAACCGACCTTAGACTTCGAGAAGTTTGACCTAAGGAATCTCCCCAATGCGCATCCCACGCCGAGCCGTGCCCAACCTCCCGGTACGGCAAATTCACCATGGATGCACTGTGCCACATATTAGCGAAACCTGCTCCTTCATGCCCATACTGGAGGGGTCGAAAACCACTTTAGAAACAAGAATATCGATATCTTGGTGCTCTGATATGTAGGATGTGATTGAAAAGAAGACGCTACCTATCCACTCCGGGGATTGCAATTTAACACAAAATCGTCCTTCAACTGCTTGAACTGCCTCCTCTTTCATAGCTTGCGAGCGATTTATCTTCTCTATCCAACCTGATGCCATAGACGCGGTCATGCCTTCCACGTACAAAGAAATCATCTCAGAACCCGAGTTCTTTCGGACCTCGTACGCCATGGTGGCACTTGCTTCAACCTTCATTCTCGCGCGCGTCAGCGTACAGGTGTGGATGCGAAGAGCTATGGAGTCGCAAGACTATTTCCTATATGCTGCTTTCATCTTCTTCCTTGCGATGTCCATATGCTACCTCATCGTTATTCCTAAAATCTACGCAATCGCAAAGGTACAAGTTGGACTACTCCAGCCCTGGCCAAGTATACTGGATGACATCCTTGTCTACGTTCGGACGATTTTCGTTACAACAACGCTGTTCTGGTTAGCGCTATGGTCGGTCAAGCTATCTTTACTTGCACTTTACAAGAAACTACTAGAGGGCCTCCCGACCGTGTGGAAAAAACTTTGGTGGGCAGTGATTGGGTTTTGCACAGTTGTAAGTTGATGTCGTTGTATGCTTTTTACTTCCAACTAAAGATTCTGGCGTAGGCTCTTATCGGCTGTATCATCTCCTATTTTACTTCTTGCCCAGACTTCACTGCTCTGATAATGGATGGAGAATGCACTGAGGGTCCCCGAAGCGTCCGTGGTCAGCTTGCGAGTCTGTACATGTCTTACGCTGTCGATATTTTGTCAGACTTCATGAGTAAGTAATCAGCCGTCCTTCTACAACGTTGGTACTAATCATGTCAGTCATGTTGCTCCCGATCCGGCTGGTCTGGAACCTTCAAATGGCACGCGCGCAGAAGATAGCTGTCGTCGCACTCTTCTCGTCGGGCTTTGTAGTTGTTACTTTCGCTACTCTACGAGTTGTACAGGTCGGCATCAAGACCGGAAACAGCACATCACCCAGTCCAACCTGGCTCGCTTTCTGGACGATTATTGAGTCGGCTGTAGCTATCTGTATCGGCTGCTGTCCTGCCTTCGCCGTCTTCTACCGAAACACCCACACGCCTCACGTCTCCTACGACACAAGCGGGTACGTTCGACACAACCAGAGTCGGTCTGGAGCAGACCCGAACTATCCAGATGCAATCAAGATGAATGCCGTCGCTGTTAGCAGTAGCAGAAAAAAGGTTCCTAGGCGCGACATATACTGGGACGACACGCGGAGCAGCCAAGAAGAGCTTGCGGCGGACAACAAGAACATCATGGTCACAACAACGTTACAGCAAGACAATAGTCGCTCTGATTTGGAAAAATGATACCGAACACAACATGACGCGCAGGTGCTGTCTAGCACAAGGATGGTAGACACAAAGCGCTTATGAACACAAGCACCTGCTGGTGGAGAACCTTTTGTAAAGCCTCATCATCGATTCAATCTGCTACAAAGGTACCGAGGAAGCCGAAGTAGGTTGTCACACCGCTCGCGCAGCCTTTTCGGCTGTAGAAAGCCTATGACTTCTACTTTGTTCTGTCGTAAGTTTGTACGTAGTACTTTTACGGTGTGCAAGCCCACGCAATGTATTTGAAGAAGACGACACCCTGATCACCACTTGACTTTCCCAATTGTACGAATCTCGTGAGGCTTCGAGAACATCGCTCGGTCGTTCGAACTCACCCAAGGACTGGACGTGCTTTTCAAGATTGTTCACCGCAGAATTGCCTTGGTAATCGCTCTAAATTGGACTGGGTGCTACACTTGCGGTGATGAGATATGCCCTTACTCCTCCCCACGCTTGAGCTCCTTCAACCTTCCGTTCTGGTCTAATGCAAGGTTCGTCCCCGCGACATTAGCACTATCACCATCGAATAGCAACGCGATCTCTTCCAAAGCCGGACCTTTCGTCTCGACGTACAGGAAGTAAATGGCCAAGCATTCCAATACCAACACTACAACGTATACGATATAGAACTTCCAGCCTAATGCTTCAATACCAATTGGGTTCACGTACTGGTTGAAAATACCAGCTAGCGACGTGAACACGAAACAAAGTGTGAGGCCTTTGGCGCGGATATTGAAAGGGAGGATTTCGACGGTGTAGGAAACTGTTAGGCCAGGCCAAGCGATACCGGCGGCTGTGATTGCATTAGTTGGTTCATTTAGGTGGTACAATATGCGACAGGAGAGAAGAGAAGGCAACTTACCCCCATAGAAGAGGAAGATCATTGCGAGAACTGCGGAACCGGCACTTGAGTTTCCAGTCTGGGCGTACACCGCGCTGCACGCGGTCCAGATGGTGAAGGCGATAAGCATACCAATACCGGCACTTAAGAAAAGTGTTCGTCGCCCCACTCGATCAACAAGGAAAGCGCATCCGAGAGAAACGAGCCAACACCAGATTGTTAGACCACCATTGATGAGCGCTTGATCGGAGGAGTTGGTTATGCCAATAGTCTGAAGGACCGCTGCGAGGTAGTAGCTCACAAGCCCGTTGCCCGAGCATTGCGAGAAGATGGCAGTAAGGATGATCAGCAAGCAGCGCTTCCTATTGCCAGGGGTCCGGACTAATTCGTACCACCCACTGGAGGCACTCGCGGCCTTCTCAGCCTCCAGAGTTAGACTTATCTCGTTGTATTCCCAATTCACAAAGTCGGTCTCGGCTCCATTCCCGTGATATTTGGTGAGTATCTTCTTTGCGGCAGAGTGCTTGTTCTTGCTGACTAGCCAGCGCGGCGACTGACACGAGTTTAGCATATATTCTGCATGCGTGTACAGCCTGACTCACTTCTGGAAGGAGGTGTAGGGCAAGCAACTGTATACCAGGCATGGCGCATTGAAGGCCTACGGGAAGACGCCACGATAGATCGGAAGAGATGTGAGTCAAGGTACCGTACGTCGTCCACGCCGCGATGATAGCACCTAGATACCACAGGGTATTGTATACGGTCGTTACCCTACCTCGATGTCGTGGATGCGCAACCTCAGTAATCAGAAGTGGGCACGTCGCATTCGAGATGTTGCTACCCATCCCCATGATGAATCTGCCGGCCAGAAACATGGCGTCTGGGTTATCCTTGCGTGGAAAGGCTTGGATGATTGAGCCCATAATGACTAGGAGGCAACCAATCGCGGTGCCCAGCCTGCGTCCCATCATGTCGGCGATGTAGGGTGTAAATAGGAGAACTGCGAAGCCGCCGAATCCCGGGAATGCACCTAGGAGGCCGAGACGTGATCCTGTGGGGTGATGGAAGACTGTTGACAGTAATGTCAGTTCTCGGCAATTAGTATGAGATGTAGGAGAGCAGGAACATACACTCTTTCCATGCTGGCATAGTCTGTAGACCATTGAGGAGACTGCCATCGTACCCTAGGGTAGTAGAACCGAGGAACAAGAATGGCATCAGCAAGTACAGCTTTCGCAGTTCGGGCTGATGGTACCACGGCCGCATGTCTTCTTCTGGTTGGCCGTGGTGATCAACATCTTCTCGATGATCAACTCCGATATCCTGTTTGCTGTCCATTGCGGTCGAAGTGAGAGGCGGCTTCTTGTCGATGAAACTTCGATGCTTCTGCTTCAATAGCGCATATCTCTACGCATATATATACCCTGAACGAAGCGGCCTGACGCACCTCGTGGTCTCGACCAAATCGCCGGTATGTCTGCATCCAGTGCCATGGGGAAGTGGAGCGATAGTGCGGAGAAGACACATGGGTGATGAATCGATCCAGGAGGCTAGGGTTAGCCTGGCGCTAATGCATCATTTTTCCGTCAGTTTTTGCGGCGTCCAGGTTCTCTGCGCTTCAACCAACACTCACGACATGGAAGAACGATCGGAACGGGAAGAGCGCGTTCGGCAGCGTACTTCGGCAGCTTGCGATGCATGCCGTACGAGGAAAGTCAAGGTGAGGATTACTTGGTTCAGGGCAGATTCGCAGCCTGACATCACCAGTGTGTCGCGTCGACCAGTGAATCAAAATGCTCGGTCTGTACTGAGCTCAATATCGAGTGTACAAGTATAAGACCGCGGAAAAAGAGAGGACCAAAGAACCGATATGTACACTCATTACGGGCGCGCCTTGACGGCAATGGCACGTTTGCAGCGGAAAGCGAACCTCAGCAACCGCGTTTGGGGCTCATAGCACCGCCTGCCATTATCCACCAAATTACGACTGACTGGTTCGATTGGATTCATCCTGTAGCTCCGCTCTTTCATCGTACTCTATTTATGCGAAGGATATCCGAGGACGACGGCTCGAGGGCGTTCTTCCTGCTAGTAGTATCAGTCTGCGCTGCCACTGTGGCTAGCCTTCGTAGGCGGCGCCACCTCTACGGGGAATTATCGGTAGAAACGTGTCTGGATCTGGCTGAACGCTTCAGAATGTGGAACGTGAGCAGCGAGATCACACTAGAGAGAACATTGGCGCTGTACAATTTTTCCAGCGCTGTCAACCATGAGCACGGCCTTGGTTCTCCACTGACCTACCGCCTCTTTGCTGGGAGTTCGGTCGGCATCAAGTACCTCATCCATGAGAATTTCGAGCGAATGTCATTCATGGATCAGCAAACCCTCAAGCGCCTTTACTGGCTGATTTATGCCGGCCAGTGCACCTGCGATATGCATGGCAGACAGCTACTGGTGCTGCGTCATGCGCATGAAGCTTTCGGTCATCTAATTCCGTTGGAGATTAGCGACATACAGTTACTACATGGTGCTGACGCAAGCTCCACTGAAGACACCGGTCCGTGCTTTTCGTATGTCCCGGGACTCAACGTACTTTCCAGGCTCTTCATGGTATGGCATTCCAGCCAAGCGATCACAACTCAGACTATGAGTAATTTACATGAGCACATCATGCGCGCTCAGCAATTGCTTGAAGACGTGCCCCCAGAACTCGCGTGGCGACCGCCTCATGCCGTTGGACAGTTCGCCTTCAATGTGCAAAAGGTCAATCTCAAGGTCACGCAACTGCACATTCGATCCAACCTGCTTGAACAGATGAACACTTTGGCCAAGGACCAAAATATGCGAGTCACCCCGGGCGCTATCATCGATGAGCGACATCGCGTGGTGGACGAGCTGCTCGATGTCCTATACAACATGCCAGAAGAGGTGTTTGATGCTAACGGATATAGTATTGTGCCGAAAATTAGAGACATTGGTGGCGCTCTTCTGGATGAGCTGCGAACCGGATCGCAAGGCACCACTCTACAAGCAAGCATAAATTTGGATAAGCTTTTAGCGAAGCTGGAGAGCCTAGATCAACGAGTTGCGGTGCAAACACCATATGTCTGAATTTATGCTCTCTGTAGCGTAACAGGAGTGAGTGGCCTGCGATATAATTCTATTGAGAGTATCTATGTCGCAAGATACTAGCTGTTTATCATGTAGGGTGTTCAAAAGTCCTCCTCACTTTCTTCGAGGCTATATGCCCAGCACTCGGCAATGCATGTTCTGGCTGGGATAGTCACTGCGATGGGAAAACCTCCATAGTCGGGGTCTTCGTTCGGCATGATCAAAAATTCGCCACTTCTTGTCTCATCACCACCTAGAATCTTCAGCGTCGACAGCTCGCAGGTCTCCGGGTTGACTTCCTTCTCCTCTGCGTGTAATATGCCGGTGAAAGTTGACTTGGGGTTGGCGCTCTTGAAGGAGAGGTTGAAGCCCCAGCCTGCGCACAGGAATTTCCCGTCCCCCTGGTGTATGACCATGCCTGCTCCAGGTCCCGGCTTACCAAAAACGAATGCACGTTCTATGATGACCTGGAAGCCTCCGATAGTCTTTGTTCGAGGTTTCTCGCTGATCTTCTGGCCATCGACAAAGTCGTCGAAGAAAAAGCCCATCATATCTTCAGGCCGGTTCGCCTGCGCTTCCAGAATCTGCTTTCGCAATGAATGGATCAAGCCGTAGTGCTTTGTGAAAGCGCTTTCGGATGCTGCAAGAGAATCGATACCGAACGGAGAGCATCCCAGCGCGAGGTAGTTGGCATAAGCGCTCCAGATCCGTCGCGCACCTTTCTCATCACGCCTCTGTTCGGGTATAAACAGTGGTTGACCGCCATGTCTGTAGTTTTGACAGGTCATCTCGTAGTCGTGAAAGTATAAGTCCGGTGCTATGAAGTCTAGGCTGGGGGCATTGAAGGTGTAGACGTCCATTGTATGCGGACATGGGCCGCCGGATGGGTAGATGCCGGCCTTTTCTCCGCCACCCACTACAACTGGTATGTCGGTAAGATCGAGATCCGTAGGGTTGTCGAAGTTCAGCCAGACGTTGGCATACAGAGGTATCGGATATTCGGCTTTGCCAGCGGATGCGACATGGTGAATGTACTTTGAGTAAGCATCTGCCATGAACATCTCATTAGCGTTGATGATGTCGTCAGCACCAAAAAGCTCTGTCCATGATGTTTCGCCTGCTTTAGCTGCGCTGACGTTGTACCGTCTCTGAAACTCTGGGTGTAACCGAGCACTGTTTGACTGCAGGTGTTCAAGCAGCTTTTTCGGTACGGGCTCCTGGAACTTCTTATCGGCAATCTTTGAGCGATCTCTAGAATCGCCCAATAAGCCAGTCTCGTTCTCAACTTGCACCATTAGCACAGTACTATGCTGTCCATCAAATTCTTTCAGATGGGCCGTAAGTTTCGCGAATGCCTTTGCGTCAGCCGTCCATGCCGCCTCACAGAATGGACTTAACAGCTCCAGCGTTCTCCGCTTGCCTCCTGCTTCCAGCGCATGTACTCTCGGGAACCTCTTCACATCCTTCTTGACCCAAGCGGGCACATATGTACTGAGCGCGTTCTTGAAGCTTCCGAACCAAAGTAACACGAGCTTGATGCCGTGTTCGCGCGCCGCCAAAATCACAGCATCGAGATTCGAGAAGTCAAACTGACCCTCTACAGGCTCAATCTGTTCCCAGGATACTGAACCGAGCAGCGTGTTAATGTGCATTGCGCGCATATTCTGCCATATCTTGTCATCGGCCATGTACTTTGCTGAGCTCAATGTGGAGTTGTGCAGCTCGGCGCTGAGCATGAGGAAAGGTTCGCCATTGACGATGAGCTGGCTTGAGGTTTTGGTCTTGCGAAGGTGTGGGATTGACATTGTTGTCATGATGTGATAGTCTTGTCAACCGCGGAAGGCTTAACTTTAAGGAGAGAGGTTGCAGAAGGAAAAAAGAGTGCTCCTGCGTGATGCAATAGAAGTTGAGGAAGAGAGGAGAGGAGAAGCAGACGTGAAACGACTGAGCGAGACATGAGCAACTAAACATCACATGCTTGGAGGCTGCCCCACGGTGCACCATCTTACACGCAAAAATATCGGAGTATCTCTGCATAAGTCGGAGGCATGGTTTGTGCCACGCGATCCTAACTCGTAGTGCCCGTCCATGGCGTGCGGGCGTACATGCGGGGAACGCTAATGGAAAAATACACGAGTCATATATCCGACGCTAAGATAGTTGGGCCTTCTTCCAGTTCTGCATCCTGATATCCTATAGCGCTCGTGGAAGGTACTATGCCAGCAAGGAAATACCAGCACTTGTGCACCACTCCGCGGGTTTCCTGATCCGCCCTCTTACACACCATCGTTAGCCTTCCGATGCCTCTTCGCTTTGCGCATTGTCGGCTTGAATAGGTTGATCATCGGGACACGTCCTACGCGAACTATGTTATTATATACCTATTCATCTTTTCGATGTCCTCTTAAACAGCTCACCAATACATCCCCATTCTATAGTTGTTACACTCAACCCTCCTGTGTCTATATGTGGCTGCAGTGTGACTATAGCAAGACTCCGGTAGACGATTTCTTGTTCAGTCGCGATGTGTATCCTTTTATTTTCTTGCTTTCCCTTCCAGCCTCTTAGAGCTACTTCTCGAGCGCTTCGGGCTCGTGTTGTAACCATGGTGTGTTGACGCAGTGTCGTTTCGAAAGAGGCAGAAAGATCGAGGAGTCGAGGGGCTGGAAGACATAGATCTCGGCATTAACAAGGCCACAAACTCCGGCCCTATATCTGAACACCATCTTCGTCAAAAATCTACTACCTGTCTGCCCAATATTCCCAAGAGCTCATCATGCACCCCTCGGATAGCGCATGTCCGCTAGCTCAGCTTCCGCAGGAGCTTCTGGATTATACAATTGGCGACCTCCCTTCACCTCAAGACATCTCAAACCTTTCTCAGAGCTGCAAAGCCCTGCATATGAAGACGATAGAGCGACTCTACAACCACATCAGCCTGACGTGGAAAGCCAGCGATACAACCCGCCCTCTGACTGTTGACAGTCAGCATGCAGCACAATCCCTCCGTCCCAACCTGCTCCTCCAAACAATCTTGGCGAAACCTAGATATGCGCAATCCATCACCCATCTCAAATTGCAGAGTACGGGATTTAGGGGTTATTGGTCGACTTGGGGTGTCCTTCCGCGAAGACGGAAGCCATTAGTGAAGCGGAAACCTGATGCTGCCAAGGACTGGACGACTGAGAAGCAGCGGTTAGCCATGGACGCCGTACACGGCGTAAGACTGGGAAGACAGCGCGATGGGCATGCAGACGCTTTTACAGTTAGCCATCAGTCTTGGTATGATGCTGTCTTGATGTACGACCTGGATGCTACAATCGCGCTGCTCATATGTACATGCTCAAATCTCGCGTCGCTTCATCTAGGATTCCACATTGGCGACGACGTAGTATTTATCCCTAGGCTCTTATGGTCCCTACCTTCCATCGAAGGCACAAAACAATTTCCAAGATGTGGCAACCTTCGAAAGATAACTTTGGGATATACGCGTATCATTGATGAGGACGAAGAAGAGTCTGACATGTGGAGTCGGATTGACTGGCTGCATCCACATTTAGACTGGAAGGGGTATTGGGCTTTCTTCTGGTGTCCGATAATCCAGACCATCGAGATGAATTTGATGGATGAGGTTGCTCACGAGGGATTCCAGATGATGGAATTCCCACCTCTCTGCTCAAAGCTGACGACTTTGAGGCTCTACGAGTCTTCCGTGACGCCAAATACACTGGCCAAACTGCTGTCTTATTCACCTGCTCTCAAAACATTGGACTACGAGTACTGGACTACCCATGAAGACTCGCTGGACTGTGGGTCGCTCAACGCAGCTTTTGATGTCGTTAAAAGTACCTTGGAACATTTGAGATTTGTCTCTCAAATGAAATCGCCTACTGTGTATGAAGACAGCCTCGTAAGCGGCATGTGTAGTTTTCACGACTTCCCTGTGCTTTCCTCCCTTCAACTCCCGCCAGCCGTACTACTAGGCTGCAGACCTTTCTCTGCTCCCAGGCTAGAGGAATCCATACCATCGAGCATGAAGAAACTCTGCTTTACTGATGACTTCTTTGGCGACGCCTGGGGCGCAGAAGAGTTGACATCGGTCCTGAACGACTTTGTTGAAGGCGATTGGGGAGCTTCAGCCCCCCAGCTCCAGCAGATATATGTCGCAATTGACAGGGAGTGGCTTGGTGAGGCTGAAGATGACTGTCTGCGAAAGTTATGCGAGGAGAACGGATTGAAGTACGAGCTCTAGATATCGTCGACAATAGACATGGCAGCAAAGTTGAGGCTTTTGCATCTGCGATACATATAACCAATGTCGGAGGTTCCGAGGCAAAAACGCCGAAGCCGAAACGATACGAGACGTTAATGCAGTTGCAGTCGGTGCGAAGCGTTCCGCCGGGTACCGACATCACGATGATGAAGATGATGTTCATGCCGCATCGGGAGCTGGACCCTGCAGGTGAGATCGCGTTCTATGGGATGACGTCTTCGATTCACGACACACGCGATTTGAGATGGTACAAAGACAATAGCAACCACACCTTTGCATTCCATCTTATCCCGCATCTGCAATCCCGTATCTCTGCATCGCGTTCATACACGTGACCGTTCTTCTACCTTCACCACCACCGTCTCGAATCTTACTACAGCCGACAGCATGGGCAATACACAATCCACAGTGCGATATCTTGCGCCGGCTTCTTTCATCTATGATTTTGCATTGCAACAATATGGCATCTTTTCGTCGCCCAATATGATGGACATCCACAACCGGAACCTTGCCGCCTTCAGTCCATACCCGTACTTCATCGGCGCATTCTTCTTCCCACAACAAATCTTCCAGCTGGTCTGGTTGTGGAAGCTGTGGAAGCAAGACGGTAATGCACAGGAGTGTGCGATGATGAATAAGTTCGCGTGGGTTTACAGTTTGGGAAACTTTTGTATTGGAAGTAAGTCTTACCTCTGAAATATCGTTCTGATCATGGACAACAAATACTGACACGTGTGACAGCCTGGATGTTCTTCTGGAACTCGAACAACTTGGAGACATCAAATATCTTTGTCATCATCAACACATTGGCCCAAGTCGGTTATATTGCTACAGCGCTCGAACCGCTCGATACACGCTCGACACCCAACTTCCTCACACACATCGTTGCGAAGACATTCGCAGGTATCGGTGTACTGGATCTCCTTCACAACACATCAGCAGCCTACTATGTAGGCGTGGAACCTAGCTCGCTCGTACAGGTCGCCACTGGTGTTGGATTCGCAGCTGCGGCCAGCATGAGCGACTGGATATTTGGTAGCTGCCTGGTATACGATCTCGTCGCGTTGGCTGTTGGACAGGAGGGCAACTGGTCAAGGCTGCTGGGTGGATATGCGGCGATGACTGCTGGTATTGTGGGCTTCAGGAACTTCTTCTAGTATGTTCACTCGGCTCCGTCGCATGCCGAGTCGTGCTGACGGATTGCAGTCCCCGGTGGAAGGCTCAGAAGGAGGGTAGATATGCCAGGGTCCAGGATGGCGGTGATGCTGTTTAGACATTGGGTGCCGCAGGTCGCGAAAGTTACCCAGATTCAACAACATACGAATAACATGTATGGTAGTTAATTCCAATCATAATATTTTAAGACTTACTTTCTTCTCGTATTTTCGCTAGCACTTCCCAGTCTGGACCGCTCTCACCGACGTGCAACTCTCAAGAAGGTCGAGACACCACGAACCCTCGCTCTGCTCGATGGTGGGTTTCTGTTACGTTTCGAGGCTGATCTTAGTGGAGCATATTAGTTGACGCTTGGAGGCCGAAGCGAAAGACCCATTCCGATGGCGGAGGAGGGGCAGATGGCATGCATTATGACTATGCAGGACACGCTAGAGGTCGACTCCAGATTGAAGTTGATCCGATCTCTGATGCGCGTGCATCTGGCGATGTTATATGAATGTGGTGCGAGCCAGCCGGCAAGCATTCCGCCGGGCGCGCAGAGATGATGCGCATCGCCAAGGCCCGCGAACGGCGGCAAGGGGAAATGCAGCGTAAGCTAGGAGAGTCGCGTGCCCGCGGATTGCCTCGAGATAAGCAACTCTTATCTATCACTCATCGCATCCCACCCGCGCAAGTCACACTGATCTCCCGTCATGCCTGCCCTAACCGTAACAGACGCCGCTTGGCTCAGTATCGGTCATGCGAGCCTGCCGGGGGATCCTCTAGCATGTGGAGAGCTTCCTTTATCGAGTCTACCGTTGGCTGGGGGGTAGTCATGACTGTTGACTGTTGACGGCCGCTGCGTTGCGCCGTGTCTTCTGTCACACTTCGCTGACGTCTCGTGCCTTCTCTTCTACTCTTCCTCTTCCACTACCTGCATTCTGCGCTCTCTGTGCTTGCCGTAACTTCTTGTTCTGCACGTCGACTCTTATCAGCCACGGACCGGATCAACGACGTCACAGCGCCGCGCTTTGAACAGCGACTCTCACGCGTTGACTCTTAAACTACGCCTGCAGACACGGTCGCCAGATTCATCATTGGATTCTGACACTGACGTTGCGCGTGTCTTGTATACGAGGTTGCACCCACACCTCGGTGGCTGTACCTAGAGCCCGAACCAGCACCTGACCACTCAGCCTGCGCTACCGAGACGCGAGGAAGAAGCAACAAGCAAGACGTATAAGGAAAACATCCGGGTTAGCAGTCCCGGTTGACTCTATACGGAAATCACAGCCCTAGAAAGTTGTGTCGCGACTTCCTCCCACACCCTCGTAATCGACACATGGCACCATGCCGCCCTACCTATCCCCCCTACATATAGCCAAACCCACGTTACCACCGACATGCGAACCTGCGAACGAGTTCCTCTACCATCTCTCGGCCTTCTTCCACACCTGCGTGCCTACAAACCTCGCCCTCATCTCTACGTTACTCGGCACGTGTAGCATCGTATCATGGCTATTCGCACAGCTACCACAAATATACAAGAACCACAAGTTAAAGTCGACATCCGGCCTGAGCGCTTTCTTTCTGACGGAGTGGCTGTTGGGTGACGTGACCAACTTGCTGGGTTGCCTTTTCACTGGGCAGGCGTCATGGCAGATTATAATCGCTGGTTACTACGTTTTTGTAGACTGCTGCCTATGCGCTCAGTGGGTGTGGTATGAAATGCTGCATCACGGAAGGCCTCTGAGGCCCATCTGGGGACGTTGGAGCAGCGGTTCGGCTGGCAGCGGCTCGGGCGCTGGCGGCTCTGCTATGCATCAAGTTCTGGATGGGATGAGCATCAGTGGTACAAACAAGACATCCAGCCCCCCGAAGACCCCCCAAGATCCCTCCGACAAAAAGAACAGCACACAGGATACCGCGGCAAAGGATGTACCACGCTCAAACGGCAAGGACACTTTTAGAATACCCAACTTCGCGCGCTCACCAATGCCCACTAAAGAGTCGTGGCAAAACACACCTCCATCTGGCGCATCCCCGAACCCCAAGGTACGGGTAGCAGCGTCGAGCTCACCTATGCCCTCACCCAAGACTGTCCTCTACGTCAGTCTTATGCTTGCGGTACTCATCAACCCTACTACCGCCACACCCATAAGTCCTTTCGCCCCAGGTCTCGTCCGAGCCCGCAGCCTTTCTGCCTACACAACCACAACGACCAGTTCGCCCGACGCTGCAGCCATTGCTGGCAAAGTCTTCTCTTGGATGAGCACATTCCTCTACCTTGGATCCCGCCTCCCCCAACTATACATGAACCAAGTCCGCAAATCGACAGCTGGTCTCTCACCCGCGCTCTTCGCAGCAGCCTTCTTTGGTAACCTCTTTTACTCGACTTCTCTGCTTACAAACCCCTGTGCATGGTACGACTACGCACCCGGCGAAGGCTCTGGCTGGGTCGACCCTCAAGGTAGTGTGCGAGAAAATTGGGTTCTACGCGCGGCACCCTTCTTCTTTGGCGCAGCTGGCGTTCTCCTCATGGACGCAGCCGTTGGTCTTCAATTCTGGTATTTCGGCGACGCTGCACCACGCGGTCGATCTACGCTACCCCGTGACGACGAAGTCATCATCACCGTCGACGATCACGGCAAGCTGGTGCGCAGGAGTATGCACTGGCGCCGAGTAAGCGGGTGGATGAGGGGCTGGGCACCTGCTGTTAGTGTAGCTGCTACGCCCAATGTGAGTCGTGCGAACACGCCCATGGATTCTCCGAGAGAAAGCAGTCCAGCCAGTTTGGCTGGCAGTAGCTCCAGCAAGAGCATTCCTATCAAAGGGAAGGGTAGTGCCTTGGACGAAGCCAGGGCGCTTTTAGGAACAAGCAGACATGCAAGTCCAAGGAGTTATGGGGCTGTGGGCAGTCCTCGGTAGTGAGCTAGTTGCATTCACAATGTGTATCGAGGTCATGGCTGGATCCTATTACTGGGCATGTATTGCATAGTTGCATCTACGATCGGCGTTCTTGGGAGCATTAGCATTGATGTCTATACATCTTAACATACGAAACAATCATTATTCTTACCATGCATCAATATCCAGAAACATGCCATTCTCGAATATGACCCAGTCACTAAGCGCAAGAAAGGCAGAAGGAAAGGGGTTGAGTTCAGAACAAGGTAATACTGCAATTGGATCTTCCGTTATTTCATCATAGTTTCTATGATTTGCTTGAGAAGATAACGGGGAAACTACATCTATCTAAACCGCCCTTGACAAAGAAAAAGGCACCAGAACGCCGAGCTCGACTAGCAACAAGAAAATGTAACCAGACCGAAAACCCGAAGAGCCCCCCCTACTGCGAAGGTATCACACCCTTATACAAAACATGTCTTGGTAATCGTACAGAAAAGCCGGGAGGTGTGTGTTGTATACATTGGCAACGCCGTCGTCGATGGCATTTGCCCTTCAGGAAGTCGAACTTTTAGGGAATCTCTAGAAAAGGAGGAACGCCAATGGTAAGAAAGGCGTTTAGACACGCGAGACATCGCGACCGAAGCACTTGGCCTTGGCCCAGTCAAGCATGACCAATATCCTGTTACGGGTGCTGAAGCACATGCTGAGGTATGCCGAGCGCCAGAAGATGTAGGTAATGGTACCGCCAGAAGCAATGTTGCCAGAGAACCATGAGATGTCGGCAACAGCCTTCTCGGAACCAATGTAGGCGAGCGAACCCTGGTGGGAGTACTCAAAGGGACCGATAGACTTGATCCTCCTCAGCCTCTGCTGCAGAGCCTTGATCTCGCCAAAGACCTTGTCACGGGCCTCCTTTCCTGGTGCCTTCTCCTGTGCAACGGAGAGCTCGGCAAGCTCGCCCTCAATCTCGGAGGTCTTGGCCATGTTGTTGAACATGCGGGCGAGGAAAGCACCCTCCTGAGCGGCGACCTGGGCAGTGGGGGCGTAGTTGGCAACGGCGCAGTCACCGACAGCCCAGACGTTCTCGGTACCCTTGACGACGAGGTACTCGTTTACGGCGAGACCACGGCGGGAGTCCTTTTGTGCGGGAATCTGGTTGATGAGGTCCTTGACAATGGGTCGGAGAGCGTTACCAGTAGCCCAGACCAGAAGACCGTAAGGGATCTTCTCGAGCTGCTTCTTGCCGTCAGGGCCGGTCGACTCAGCCTCGATGAACTTTGATGTGACGTTCTTGACCATGGTCTTTGTGCGGATGGTGATGGTCTCTTCCTTGAAGGTCTTCTCGGTGTAGTCGATGAGCTGCTTGGAGAACATGGGAAGGACGTTGGGCAGAGCCTCAACGAGGGTGACCTTGAAGTTATCCTGAATCTCGGGGAGCCACTTCTTCAAATCAGAGTGGAAGAAGTCCTGGAGCTCACCGGCGAACTCGACACCAGTGGGACCACCTCCAACAACGACCATGTGTAGCAGGCGCTTCTTCTCCTCGTCAGACTGGTCCTTGAAGGTAGCGGTCTCGCAGCAGTCCATGATGCGGTTTCGGATGCGCTGAGCATCGCCGACCTCCTTCAAGAAAAGACCGTTCTCCTTGACACCGGGAATGCCTGTTCCATGTTAGCTTTGTTCAGGTCAAAGTGGGCAAATGACGCACCGAAAGTGGCGTTCTCAGCGCCAACACCAACGACCAACATGTCGAAGGGAACCTCGGTCTGCGAGACGTCGCCCTTGATGTCTGAGTCGTCGCTGATGTAGACAACCTTCTTCTCGTAGTCGATCTTGGTGGCCTCGGCTTCGTAGTATTTGACTTGCGCCTTCTTGTGGCGCAAGAAATTGCGGATGGGCTCCATGATGGAGCGGTGCTCAATGGTGCCGACAGTGCATGAGGGAAGGAGAGGAGTGAAGAGGAAGTAGTTTCGGGGGGAGACGACGATGACATTGTAGTTCTCCGTGTCGAGCTTCTTCAGCAGAGAGACGGAGCCCCAACCGGTACCTGTCGCGTGTCAGTGGCGTCCTAGAAACACACAATGGATTAACGGCTACTCACCGAGAACAACCAGAGTCTTCTTGCTTGGGTCAGGCGGCGGCTGGTCGGCGGGGTTGCGAGTCTCGTAAATGCCGTATCCGACGTATCCAAGGCCGGCGATGGCGGAGAGCTGGGTGAGGCGCCATGTCCAGCGCAGGAGGCGGAACCTCTTGGGCTTGGGCTTGGGCGCGCCGCTTGACTGCTGGCGGACAGACTGGCGGAGAGCAATCTGATACTGGGTAGGCCGGGGAGTCCATTGCGCCCTGTTGGCGATAAGCGACGGGCGCTGTGTGCTCAAGTTCCTGCGTCCAGCCAGCTGAACCTGCGAGAGGACGTTGGCAGAAGCGGCGAGCGGCCTCATGTTGGGTGCCATTGGGATGGAGGAAGCCGCGGGAGAGCTTCACGAAATCAATGGCTGGATATAGGTGATAGGGAAGGCGAACAAAAGGTGTTGAGGATGGCTCTAGAGTGCGCGGAAGTCAACTTTTTCCTTAGCGATGACGAACACCCTACCAAGACGTCCAGCAGGGGTCTTTGCTTCTGCGCCAAAAGATAAGCCCTGTTCCAATTAAAGCCCGCCCTGCCGTGTCCACGCCTACTACACGCGAATTATTTGTAGAGCCGACTGCTACCATTAGTTCGTCGAGGCCGATCATCCGTCACTCCCACGCTTTGTTTTGCATTTCGCAATGCTGTTGCGGCTGACCCTCTGACCCGCGTCCAGCGATACCACTCAAACTGTTCGCAAGTTGACTCACCACACACACGATTCTTTCTGCGCTCCATTATTCAGCTCAACAAGGTATGGTCTTGCGCTGCATCGGCTCGGCACCGACTCCGGTGGTCAGCCATGTACATGCACTTTTGCAGTGCGCACCCGGCGCCTCGGAGGGATGAATTATGGCTTCCGGTGCCTTTTAGCCGAGCCGCATGTCCATGGAGCCTCAGCGAACCTGCATACCTGACGGGAAGAAGTCGTGATTTTGCGGACCCGCTTCCCACGGTTGTGGTCAGCAGTATCCATCCTAGATCGTCCGAGACGACACGGACCAGCATGGATTTAATTGACTAATTCCACCTTTCGTTCCTGATATCTTGTTGCACTCGTGCGTACTTATTCTACTTCCTTGGTTGCGTGCTCCTGGTATCTTTTTGATACCCTAGCTATCTTATCGTTACTCAGCATGTGCAACATTCTGAGCACACGACCACGCAAGGCGATCAATGTCGTCTACCGTAGAGCATCAACATAGCAAACGACGGGACCGAAAGACATGGACCAACGTCGTGTATAGTAAGCTCATATTACAAACAAGAATGATGATGCCATGCATTCACCCCGCTCGCATGCTTATCGATAGACCTTCCCCCTCCAAACCACTACACAACTTCACAACGCACTCACCACCTAGCTGGAACTTCAAGTATCCAAACATTATTCCGTGATCCAGCTCACTTCCAACTCAATACCCAAACATGCCTCATGCAACCGCAACTGTAAATGGGATCGTAGTGGCCGAAACTGACACCTACGAAGTCGTTGACGGGAACATCTACGTACTATATTCTCTTCCGGTATCCTCGCATAGATCCTAACACACCCCAGTTTCCACCCAACACCATCAAAAGCAACCATTTTACTCCCACTGACACCAAGACACATTGTCCTTATAAAGGCGACGCAAGCTACTACACCGTTACAACCAACAAGACCGAAGTAAAGGATGCAGCTTGGTACTACCCGGAGCCATTGGACAGCATGAAGCGGATCAAGGGGTATGTTGCATTCTACAAAGGGAAGGCTGAAGTGAAGAGCGAGTGAGAGAGTGTTGTCTCGAAAGTGTAAGAAGTGCGAGATGTGAATGTGGGTATATTCAGTATCGATTGAAGTCCCATAAGGAAAATGCAGATATCCCTTTCTAGTAACGCCGGTAAATGCTCATAATCTTCATGACAGTCGAGTCCAACATTGCCTCGATCATGCATCGACGGCCATCATCATCGTGTCGTCGCCATCGATACCTACAGCAGGTGGCTCGATCATAACACCACGTCCTCTTCCTTCAAGCAGTTCTCTTCGTACTTCGGCGCTAATGCTCCTGTGACCTCTCGTGAGCAGCAGGTCTAGCAGCGCCTCTCTTTGGTCCTCGGTAATGTCGTTCCTGTATCTTTGCGCAAAAGCAAGCAGGCACTGATGCCAGATGACGGGCAGTTTGCCTGTGTTGCCCAGGTCGCCTGCTACCGACTCGGTGTCCATGGCGTCGGCGCTGCTTGCACCTACGCCTCGGAAGCGCAGGAAATGGAAGACGAGCGCGTCGATGACCTTGAAGGGCAGGGCATACTTCTTCTCGAGAAGTGTCTTGATGAAGATGTTGCAGGGGCCAGCGGCATCCGGGTCCGAAGACATTTGCTCGGCAGCGATCTCGCAGAGACGGTGGAGGGCGGCGGCAGAGTGTAGGACGGGCACGGAAATCTTGGCTACGACGGAAGCTACAATGACGGCGTCGCGCTGTGTGCAGGAGACATCTGTGAGCATAGGGAATACGACGCCCTTGAAGAATGCGCTGGGCTTGTAAAGCGCCTTCTTCAGTGCATTGTACAGATGCACGTTCAACTTGTGTGTTTCCCGGATGTTCTGTTGTACCAGAGGTAGCAGTACGGTGTTGAGGAAGATTTGGGCGGTTTGCGGCTTCGCGGAGATGAAGATTCGGGTGGCCGCAAAGGTAGCATTGGGTGTCCAATCGTCAGGACGTGTGATGGCGACGAGGGTTTCCCAGGCGGGAATCGTGGGCAGGATCTTGAAGGGCTTGGGCAACTTGCCGCTCTTGTAGCGGCTCAAGATCAAGCCAATCTTTGAGTATACTGTGCAAGCTTAGTAGGGTTACTAGATTAACCAACGAGGGTGCTGTACCTTCGACAACCTTGGCAGGTAGTTCAATCGCGTCTTCTGGAGCACCACCGCCTTGAATCTCTGGTTGCTGTACTTCGCCTCCAGCTTCATGTGCAGCGATCTTCTCGAGAATAAGCGCCGCCAGATCTGTGCCTGGTCCAGATTGTTGCGCCTCCTCGCCGGGCCACACGATAGGGTTGTCATCTGTTGGTATGAACTTGTTCCACGCCGCTAGGTCGTTCGCATCGATTTCAACCTCCTCCACCTCCTCATCGTCGTCGCCCCAGGCCTCGTCGTCGTCTTCGGCTTGGATCAAATCCTCCCCTGGCATGTCATCCTCGCCCATGCGTGTCTCGAAGTCAAAGGCTGGGTTGGCTTCTTGCGGTCTCCGGGCCTTGTTCTCCCTCGCATCCTCCTCTTCCAGCTCTCTTCCAATTTCCAGAATTTTGCGCGAGCTCTTGGAGTCTACATACTTCTGCTCGTCGTCTTCCTTGTCGCTCTTGTTTCGCTTTTGTCGCTTCGGCGCCTTGTTCTTCCATGGGTCTGAGGGCGCATATTCTTCGGCTAGAGGGTTGTGTCGCTGGTCGCGCACACCGGGTGATTTGGGCGCTTTCGGCATCGTGGGTGTGTGATCGCAAAGAGTGGCGTGTGCAAAGCGCAATGACTTGGTCTGAAGTATTCGTGAACTTGTGCTGTTCCGGGCAAACGTGTACCGAGCGTCGCAGCAGTAAAAAAAGTTGGACAAAGTCAGAATCCAGACACCCCACTAAATTTTGATTTCCGCGCGGGTGCATTCGCGTACCAAACGGCCCGCCGTAGAAGCTGCAGGTCTAGGGCCTGCCGTCGCGCCTTCCATCAACACAGCTGTCGCGCCTTCCCCAGCAGCTGCACGATCCCTCAGAATGGCCGACTCACACCCCCCTTCGCGCTCCAACACGCCCACACTTGTGCCTCCGATGCGGCGACCACTCGAAGGCGACAATGCGCCTGCCGTCTCTTCTCCGCTCAACCCCAATCCCAATGCGGCAGCCCGTGCCAGACCGAAAGCTCCAGCGCGCGAGCAGAGAGAAAAGCGTGAGACGATCAAGAAACGTGAAGCCTCAGCGAGCACGAGACAGAGCACCCCGAATGCAAAGTCGTCCAAGAAGGAGCGCCCCTCAGCGGACTCGCCCATGCGATACTCCATTCCTGAGCCCAGACCATCCGACTATGAAGCGCCCAAAGACAGCACTCTGCTCTCCCACGAGCCAAATCCCATGTATGCGCCTGATGGAGTCACCGAGTTGAAGAAGCCGCACGATATTGCCTGGAACAAGAAGGGTTACAAGTACACGCACTGCGTCGCTGACCCGCTGTTCCGCCACAAACAGTACTACAGACAGAGCGACTCTAGGCCTTACGGACCAAGGATGAGCCACGAAGACTGCGACAGGTGGTTCCATTTCGACAACAGCGCAACCATCGTATCTCAAGAGAAGGGCTGGCGCATGGGACGTGGCAATGTGGTTGCGAGAGAAGGCAGGATATACTACGAGGTCAAGGTGCTACGAGGCATACCCGTACATGGTCCCAAGGATCCCATCGACCCCAAGACGGGAGAGACAAAGCCTGGCCCCCACGTGAGGATGGGTTGGGCAAGGCGGGAGGCGCCTTTGGACGGACCCGTGGGCTTCGATGGCTACAGCTACGGCATCACCGACGCCCGCTTTGAAGCCCAACACCGATCACGCGCCTCCAAGATCTTCAAACCACTCCCCAAGAATGCAAAGAGCAAGCACATGAAGGCTAGACCCCCACATGGCAAGCCAATGCCTGTTGAGTACGTTACAGATCAGCACGTTCAAGAAGGTGATGTCATTGGCCTTGAGATTCAGCTACCGTCGCTATCAATGCATCGCAAAGTCGTCGAGGGCATCTACAATCCGGCTGTGGATCTGGGAGATGGCTTCGACACTGTCAGCAACCAAGATCCCTTCGACAGGCCCATCGACATTATCCGCGATCGCATACCCGTGCCCTACAAAGGCAATTTTTACTTCGAGCAGCTGGACTACCAGGTCACCAAGATGGTCGAGGCTTACCACGACCGCGGCCCAGTACCCAAGATACATCCATCACCAAATCACGAAGATGTCAGTGTACGATCGCTGCCACATTCGCACATCAAGGTCTACAAGAACGGTGAGGAGGTTGGAATTGCTTTTGAGAACCTCCTAGCCTTCCTCCCGCCCGCCAGTATACCATCAGTCGAGGCCATCAAGGCCGGCGCAAGGACAGGTTTCGACGATGGCATGGTAGGATACCTGCCAGCCATCTCACTATTCAATGGTGGTGTTGCGCAAGTCAACTTCGGCCCCGACTTCTGGTGTCCTCCAGAAGAGATGGTCAAGCAGCGCGAGAAGGATACGGACATGGTCGATGGTGGTACAACCGAGCAGCAGATTCCGGACGGTCGCAAACTTCGGGCTATTGGTGAGCGTTAC